GTTCATAACGTTCCCCGGGAGAGGAGTCGCTTTGGGAATTTAATCTCGCATAATGTTTTGTGGCAACGTCTGCCAGCTCAGGAGCTTCACTAATACCTACCAAGAATAGAGGCTTAGGGTGCTTCTCCAAGGCAAAAATGGAGGGTGAGGAGCCCTATGGCAGTGTAGACTCATATAATCCAGCTCAAGGGAGATAATCTGGATTCAGAAGATGGATTATATGGCAGTGTAGATCCAGAGAGAGAGAAAGAGAGAAACAGAGGCATTATAAAAGCCGCTGAAACAGTGGGATGGAAGAGGATTCACTGGGGCCTCTTCCTCACAGCTGTATGAAATCCACATTGAACTGGGTTATATGGCAGTGTGGACTCAGATAATTCGGTTCAAAGAATATATTGTGGATTATCTGCCTTGATATTCTGGGTTATATGGCTATGTGGACGGGCCCTTGGACTTCCATGCTAAATGTAATCTTTTGGTCCAAACCAGAATACTCAGCGTGGATTTACACTGTCATAGAATCTAAATCCAGATTATCTGATTTGAACTCGATTAATATGAGTCTACACTGCCATATAAGGACCTTTCCATACTGCCCCTATATCCCAGAATCTGATCCCAGGTTATCTGTTTATCCCAGATTATCTGGCAGTAGGTTGTTGTAGGTTTTTTCAGGGTATATGGCCATGTTCTAGAGGCATTCTCTCCTGACGTTTTGCCTGCATCTATGGCAAGCATCCTCAGAGGTAGTGAGGTCTGTTGGAACTAGGAAAATGGGTTTATATATCTGTGGAATGACCAGGGTGGGACAAAGGACTCTTGTCTGTCGGGAGGTAGGTGTGAATGTTTCAACTGACCACCTTGATTAGCATTTGATAGCCTGGCAGTGCCTGGAGCAGTCTTTTGTTGAGAGGCACTGCCAGGCAATCAAATGCTAATCAAGGTGGTCAGTTGAAACATTCACACCTAGCTCCAGCAGACAAGAGTCCTTTGTCCCACCCTGGTCTTTCCACAGATATATAAACCCATTTTCCTAGTTCCAACAGACCTCACTACCTCTGAGGATGCTTGCCATAGATGCAGGTGAAATGTCAGGAGAGAATGCCTCTAGAATATGGCCATATAGCCTGAAAAAAACCTACAACAACCCAGCCGGCCATAAAAGCCTTCGACAATATCTGGCAGTAGACACTTATATAATCCAGTTTAAAGCAGATAATCTGAGATTAGATCCTGGCATATAGGGCAGTGCAGAAGGGGCCTAAAATAGTTCAAAGGAGATAATCTGTATTCAGAAACCGGATTATATGTTAGTATATATAGTGCCTCAATCTGCTTTATTAGCCATATAATCTAGATTATCAAATCAGATGATCCACATTATCTGTTTTGAACTGAATTATATGAGTCTACATTACCATATAGTCCAGTATAAAGCAGATTATTTATATGGCAGTGTAGAAGGGGCCTGATTCAAAGTCAAAGATGTATCTACACTTTAGTATTAAGGCAGTTTGACCCCACTTTCACTGCCATGGCTCAGTGTTATGGAATCCTGAGAGCTATAGTTTGATGAGGCTCCAGGCCTCTTTGTCAGAGAAAGCTGAAGACCTTGCCAAACTACAGCTCCCAGGATTCCATAGCATTGAGTTGTAGTAGTTAAAGTGGCGTCAAACTGCATTACATCTACGATGTAGATGCAACTGAAGTCAGCTAAGAAGGCAGGAGGAAACTATGCTCTCCTCCAAGTATTTAATAGCCCTTGATAATAAGTTATTGAGCAATATAGACTTTGACAGGTCCATTAGGGCAATCCCTTGTCTAAACTGCAACATTAGAAGCATAAAATGAATTAAATAGAGTGATTCATGGTTATATAACCCAAACCTCCGAAGTTTAAGACAGTGTTACTGTTGCAGCCACCTCTCCCGGGGAGGAACCTGATAGAAAGAACTCTCTGGATGCATCTACACCATAGAATCAATGCAAGTTGACACCACTTTTGCTACTATGGCTCAGTGCTGAGGGGCCATAGGAATTGTAGTTTTCCATGGTCTTCAGCCATCTCTACCAAGGAGTGCTGGTGCTTCACCAAACTCTAGAACATGGCCATATAGCCTGAAAAAACCTACAACAACCCTTCACCAAACTGTTCCTTCCAGGTTTCCATAGCAGCAACAGTGGGATCAAACTGCATTCATTCTCTAGTGAAGATGCACCCACCATCAGATTCGTTCTTTAGGTGCTCAGCTCTGCCTTTGGCTGTGAGAGATGGCAGAGCATTGGTGAAAGTGCTGGAATGCTTCTCCGTTGTAGACCATCTGCTGCATCACTGACCACAAATAAAGCTTATCTTACAGTGATAATGTGCCTCCACATTCAGTACTGAATAGAGTCTTGGTGAGGCCTGGAACTAAGCCCAGTTTCAGAACAGAGCTTTGTATGTGGGTAGGTGGGTGGGGGTTGTGTTTGGATCAGGAAAGATGGAATAAATATATGTAGGAGGCATTTTTCAGATCTTGCTTCAAAAAGGGAAAGCATGTTGACTTTGGAGTGCATCTATACCAGGCAGGGGCAAACTTTCTGACTTGGGGGCCGGATGGTGGGGCTGGAGCAGGGTGGGCGAGCGAGGAGAGAGGGAATTCTCCCCAAGTCCCCTCCCTGCCCTTTTCTCCCCTTCCTCTTCTCTCTTGGAGGCAGAAAGTGAAGGAAAGACGGGAAATGTTCGGATCCTAAAAGGGTTGGCCTTGATCAGGATGAGATGATGGGTGGGAGAGAAAAAGTGTATTCGTTAGATCACTGTATTGCCTTCTCCTGATATATAATAATAGAATCCTAGAGCTGGAAGAGACCCCCATGGGTCATCCAGTGCAAACCTCTGCCAAGCAAGAAGGCACAATCAAAGCACTCCCGATAGACAGCCTCTGCGGAACAGTTTCCAGAGAAGGAGACTCCGCCACACTCCAAGGCCGCCTATGCCACTTTCCATCAGCTCTTACTCTCAGGAAGCTCTTTCTAATTTTTTCAGTCGAATTCCTTTCCCTGCCATTTGAAACCATTGCTCCCTTGTGCCTTGGTCTCTAGAACATCAGAAAATCAGTTTTCCTTCTTCTCAACACCCTTTTCAATCTTAAAACATGGTTCTCACGTTCCCTCTCAACCATCTCTTCTCCCAGGTAGACCCCCTAGGAGGAAAGGAGGAAGGGAAAAGAGAAAGAAGGAAGTAAGGGAGAAAGAGACGGATGGAAGAAAGGAAGGATGGAAGGGAATGGAGGGAAGGAGGGAGTGAGGAAAGAGAGAAGGAAGGAAAGACAAAAGGAAGGCAGGAATGAAGGAAGGAGAAAGAAAGAAAGAGGGAAGGAGGGAGAAAAGAAGGAAAGACGGAAAGAAAGAGAGAGGGAGGGAAGAGAGAAGGAAAGACAAAAGGGAAGGAAGGAAAGGAGAAAGGAGAAAGAGAGAAGGAGGGACAAAAAGAGGGGAGGAAGAAAAAGAAGGAGGGAGGGAGGAAAGATAGAAGGAAGGAAAGATTAAAGGGAAGGAAGAAGAAACGGAGGAAAGAGGAAAGGAAGGAAAGATAAAAGGAAAGGAAGGAGGGAGGGAGGAAAAAGAGAAGGAAGAAAAGACAAAAGGGAAGGGAGCTGAAAGAGGGAAGGAGGGAAAGACAAAAGTGAAAGAAGGAGAGGGAGGGAGGAAAGAGAGAAGGAAAGAAAGGCAAAAGAGGAGGAAGGAAGGAGAGAGAAGGAGGGAGGAAAGAGAGAAGGAAGGAAACACAAAAGGGAAGAAAGGAAGGAGAAAGAGGGGAAAGGAAGGAGGAAAGAGGGACAACAGGGTGGAAGGGAAAGAAGGAGGAAAGGAGAAAGTAGGATGTAAGGAGGGAAGGCGGAAGGAAAGAGAAAAGGAAAGAAGGATAGGATGGCATGAGAGGAGGGCCTGAGAAAAGAGCCCAAGAGCTGCATCTGGCCCCTGGGCCTGGGTTTGCCCATACCTGATCTAAACTATAAAATTAATGCAGTTGGACACCACTTTAGCCACCATGGTTCAATGCTACAGAGTTGTAGTCTGTTGAAGCACCAGCACTCTTTAGTAGAGAAGGCCAACTTCAACTCATGTGATTCCATCACATTGAGCATTGCCAGTTAAAGTGATGTCAAACTGCATCAGTCCTACCATTTAGATACACTCTGATAGAAAGCAGATGTAATGGAAGCCACATCCTTCTCTTGAAGACGAGTGAGAATCTATGGAAGTGCAGCCTTTAGGTCTTTTTGGAGCGTAATTGAATTGAGGGGAGTGATGTGATGTGGTTGCCTTTCTTCGGGGCTTTCCAGGTCTTCTCCCCTCCTCCCTTTCTGTTTACAGAGATGGAGTGAGAATGAAGCCATGAACCAGTTTAACCCTTTTGTTCTGGTCAAAGCAGGCGGGGAAGGGATCCATTATTCACCAGGCCTGATCCATTATTCATGACCGGATGCCTGCAGTTTTCTCGATAATTCATATACACAGAGACGCTCTCGGGCACCTGGTTAACACGGCACGACGCCAAGAAAACATCTCCACCGCGGTGAAAAACTCCATCTCTTCTCCCACTGATGGGTTTGCACTCTCCTTTCAATTTCTATTGGTTACCCATCTTGCCTATTTGTAATATTCTTTCTTTTCCCCTTCCTTATAGTCTAATATCCCAGTTTGGGGTTGCCATTTCCAATCTGTTTCAGATCTCACCCGCTGCCCCTTTCCCTGACCAGTGTGAGGCATTTGGCTTCCTGGCTCTCATATAATCCATTAGTTCCATTATTCTCTCCTGAATAATTCATCCCTCCCATTGGAAATCTCTTTAAACATGTCTTCTTGGGTACATCGTGTCCTTGGCACCTGGAAGGGGGTGAGGTGTCCTTTTATTGAGTGTTAATAAAAGCTCTAGGTTTCTGGATACAGAGACCTTCCCATTTGCTTAGGTCTCGCTATCTATCCATGAGTGCTAATTCCGAGGAAAGATCTTCCTTGGAGCACCAATCCTTCAGCATCTGGAAGGGCCAGGAGATTTGAAGGAGCAGCTGCTCTAATAATTATGGTAATACCTGAGTCACCTTGGCCTGGACCACATTGAAGAGGAAGCTAGCAAGCCAGTGAGCTGGGGAGCTATCCAAAAAGGAGCGCAAGGGGTAAACAGACAGAGAGGAAATTTCTGCGAGGCATTGACGTGGAAGTATTGCAATCGCCAATTGAGGAGAGGAGGAAGGCTCCATGGAGATATCCATCCTGTATAGAGAATGTCTGCATTTCGTTTATTATAAGAGGGTGACAGCGGTCGGTCGAGTAGAGTGAAAGGAAATGAGACAAGCGGATAGGTAACCTCACTGACCAACTACTCCTAAAGGAAGGAGAGAGGAAAAGAGAAACGAGGCCACCCGGTTGGATCAATACAGCCAGACAGCAGCACGGATGGAATAGTAATAAAAGACAACGTGTTTCCAGAAGGCACAGCGACAGAATGAAAAAATACGACAGAAGGGAGGGGAATCGCCAAAAGGAATAAAAGGCAACGGAGACGTGGAGCAAAACCTCAGCTTGGATGGATCGGCTGATGGAAACCCGCATGTCCACTAAGCTGGCGGAGAGACATCAAGAACAGAAGTGACCCAAATACCAACTCAAATCCTGCAGACCATTTGAAGGCTGGTCCAGCCAGAGCCATCAGCAGCAATGGTGTGATGAGAGAGACTACCAGACATCCAAAGACTGAGAAGCAGAAGAGGATTAGCAAGGTCGAGCATCCTTTTCCTCCCCAAATGGAAACATAGGACACTTCATCCCAGGCAGAAGGAGCAGCTCTGACCGAGAGAGAGGAGAACAACTCTTCGGTCGATTCTTTTGGCTGCAGGGTCAGAAGGTGAATCTTGCCCTACTTGGACTGTGTTGAAATAGCCAGGGGCTACGAAGGAAGGACACCAGCTTCTCCTCCATGGCCTGTGCCCCACCGTCACCTCTGACCCCTGGCAATATCCCTCGCAACCTCAGCTACATTGCAGGCCTCTATGAGCGAGCCTACTACCGCACCGCCCGCCCAAGCCTGGCTGAGGACTCGGGCACCGAAGGCTCCGAATCGGAGTCGGAGGGCAGGCCCCGGGGCCGACCCCGCAGGCGCCGGCACCTTTTTGGGGGCCACAAGAGGAAGGGAAGGCGCCGGACCCGCTCGGCCCCAGCCCGGGGAAGGAGCAGGGGGCCCTCGCGGAGCCGCAGCCCAGGGACACGCAAGAGGGTCCGCTTTGCCGACTCTCTGGGCCTCGAGTTGACCAGCGTCCGGCAGTTCTGGCCCAATGACCTCCCACAAGTGCCAGAGCGTGTCCACACCCAGCTAAGGCGGGATTCACTCAGCCATTTTGCCCCTTGCCTGCCTTTTTCCCCGCCAGTAAAGGTAATGGTGTTATTTGGTGGAGGGATGGATGAATTTGGGGTTGCAAGGGGAGGTAGCATAAATCAGGCCCACCACAAAAGTGACCCTTGAAAAAGAAAGGAGGAAGATCTTTTCGGATAAAATTTCCAGGCTCTTGCATGGGCCCTACTATCTTGGATATTCTGGGGCCGCTGGGGGGGGGGGGGGGGTGCGAGGGGATGTCAGAGGAGTCAACAAAGACCATCCAGAAAACAGTATTTTCTGTTCACATTAGGGCATATTGAGTATTTGGGCCAAGATCCATCATTGTTAGTATCCACTATACTGATGGGAGTCAGAAGACGAACAATAGCATTTTTTGGGTGACAGCTCACAGACACCCTCCAGGCCAGCGTTTCTCAACCTGGGTGTCGGGGGGGGGGGGGGGGGGGTCGCAAAGGGATGTCAGAAGGGTCGCCAAAGACCATCAGAAAACACAGTATTTTCTGTTGGTCATGAGGGTTCTATGTGGGAAGTTTGGCCCAATTCTGTTGTGGGATTCAGAATGCTCTTTGATTGTAGGTGAACGATAAATCTCAGCAACTACAACTCCCAAATGTCAAGTCTATTCTCCCCAAACTCCACCAGTGTTCATATTTGGGCATATGGAATATTCGTGCAAAGTTTAGTCCAGATCCCTCATTTTTTGAGTCCACGGTGCTCTCTGGATGTAGGTGAACTACAACTCCAAAACTCAAGGTCAGTGCCTACCAAACCCTTCCAGTATTTCCTGTTGGTCATGGGAGTTCTGTGTGCCAAGTTTGGTTCAATTCCATCATTGGTGGAGTTCAGAATGCTCTTTGCTTGTAGGTGAACTATAAATCCCAGCAGTTACAACTCCCAAATGACAAAGTCAGTCCCTCCCAACTCCACCAGTATTCAGTTTGGGCATATTGGATATTTGTGCTGAATTGAAATGAAAATCCATCCTGCATATCAGATATTAACATTACAATTCTTAACAGTAGCAAAATGACGGTTATGAAGTAGCAATGAAAATAGTTTTATTTTCCACAACATGAGGAACTGTATTATCACGTTGCAGCATTAGGAAGGTCGAGAACCACTGGTGTAGAGTTTCCCTCTTTGGAGGGTTTAAACAGAAGCCGGACGGCCATCTGTCAGGAGTGCTTTGATTGTGCATTTTGCACAGCAGGGGGCTGGAATTGATATATTCCTATTCCAATAGTCCAAAAGCCTTAATTCCATATTCATTCATGTGTACATGACAAATACTATACTCTCCAACTGTCCCAATTAATATTCTGTTGTCCCACTTTTTAAGCTGCTTGGAAAATGTCCCAGCTTCTCTCTCTTCCTTTCACTTCCTGCTTCATCCTCAGCTTATTTCAGTCGCTGCAAAGGGCAAAAGTAGTTTGTACTCGGTTATCCCAGCAGAGGAAACAGGAGTGGAGAAGATAAAATCTTACCTTCCTTATATGATTAAGGCAACGGCAAACTGCTGCATTCTCTCCTAGACTGACTATTCTTCCCTACTAAGAGGGAAGTTCTAGTGCCACCCCGAGCTACAAATCCTACACTAGACGTGGCATTTAAAGTGGCATCAAAATGCTTAATCGCATTGTTTGACCCCATAATGTTTATGTACCTCTATTGACCACGTGGGGATGCTGTTGTAACCTAGATCCTGTGAAACTAAAATAAAGACCTTAAGATAATTGGGTTGCTGTGAGTTTTCCAGGTTGTATGGCCATGTTCCAGAAGCATTCTCTCCTGATGTTTCACCCACATCTGTGGCAGACATCCTCAGAGATAATTCCCCAAACTTGTAGGATTCCAGCAATATTTTTTGCTCTAGAATGCCCAAAGAGGTGTAACATTTCACCAAACCTGTTTTATTAGACAGGTTGTCATTAGACTTGGGTTAAACTGCTGAGCTGTAGAACTTGCTGACTGAAAGAAAGGTGGTGGTTCGAATCCAGGGAGTAGGATAACCTCCTGCAGTTAGTCCCAGCTTCTGCCAACCTAGCAGTTTTAAAACATGCAAATATGAGTAGATCAATAGGTGGCAGGAAGGTAATGGCGCTCCATGCAGTTATGCCGACCATATGACCTTGGAGGCAATGGACAATGCCAGCTCTGTGGTTTAGAAATGGAAATGAGCACTATCTCCCAGAGTCAGACACAACTAGATTTAATGTCCAGGGAAAACTACCTTTGCCTTTACCTGACATCCCAGAGATTTCAGGACATTTCAGGATTGATTCCATTTTGCATGAATGCAACTGTAAGGGTTTATAAAAGGTAGAGGAACAAGAGATCAAATTGCCAATATCCGCTGGATAATGGAGAAAGGCAGGGGGTTTCAGAAAAACATCTATTTCTGTTTTATTAACTATTCTAAAGCCTTTCACTGTGTGGATCATAATAAATTGTGGCAAGTTCTTGGTGGGATGGGCATCCCAAGCCCCCTTGTTTCTCTCCTGAGGAATCTGTACAAGGACCAAGGAGCAACAGTCAGAACTGACCCTGGAACAACAGACTGGTTTGAGATGGGGAAAGGCGTACGGCAGGGTTGTATCCTCTTCCCCAACCTATTCAACTTGTATGCAGAACACATCATGCAATGTGCAGGGCTTGGCGAATGCAAGGCTGGGGTGAAAATTGCTGGAAGAAACATTAACAACCTTAGATATGCAGATGACACCACTTTTATGGCTGAAAGCGAGGAGGAGCTGAAGAGCCCTCTAATCAAGGTGAAAGAAGAAAGTGCAAAAGCTGGGTTGCTACTAAACATAACAAGATTATGGCAACAAGAATGATTGCCAACTGGGAAATAGACGGAGAAAACATAGAGGCAGTGACAGACTTTGTATTTCTAGGTGCAAAGATTACTGCAGATGCAGACTGTGACCATGAAATCAGGAGACACTTACTTCTTGGGAGGAGAGCAATGATCAATCTCAATAAAATAGTGAAGAGTAGAGACATCAGACTGGCAACAAAGATCCGCATAGTTAAAGCAATGGTATTCCCCATAGTCACCTATGGATGTGAGAACTGGACCATAGGGAAGGCTGAGCGAAGGAAGAGAGATGCTTTTGAACTGTGGTGCTGGAGGAAAGTTCTGAGAGTGCCTTGGACTGCGAGAAGATCTAACCAGTCCATACTTCAGGAAGTAAAGCCCAACTACCCATTGGAGGGAAGGATAGTAGAGACAAAGTTGAAGTACTTTGGCCACATCATGAGGAGACAGGAAAGCTTAGAGAAGACAATTATGCTGGGGAAAGTGGAAGGCAAAAGGAAGAGGGGCCGACCAAGGGCAAGATGGATGGATGGCATCCTTGAAGTGACTGGACTGACCTTGAAGGAGCTGGGGGAGGTGACGGCCGACAGGGAGCTCTGGCGTGGGCTGGTCCATGAGGTCACGAAGAGTTGGAAACAAGTGAACGAATGAACAACAACAAAAACTGTAAGGATTGTACCCAACTTTACTTTAACTGAGAAGATAGACAAGATCATTCATATCAAACTCCCAAATGACAATATCAATCCACCCCAACCCCATCAGTATTCAAATTTATCGTATTTGTGCCAAATTTGATCCAGTGAATGAAAAAAAATGCATATCGGATATTTACATTATGATTCATAATAGTAGCAAAATTACAATTGTGAAGTAGCAACTAAAATAATTTGATGGTTGGGGGTCACCATAACATGTATTAAGGGGTTGCAACATTAAGAAGGTTGAGAAACACAGTACTAGGTGGTCATCCAGCATTCCCAAACAAATAAAACTGTGGTTTCGTCGTGATCTGAACGTTAGGAAGAACTTCCTGACTGTGAGAGCTGTTCTGCAGTGGAACTCTCTGCCCAGGAGTGTGGTGGAGGCTCCTTCTTTGGAAGCTTTTAACAGAGGCCGGATGGCCATCTGTCAGGGGTGCTTTGAATGCAATATTCCTGCTTCTTGGCAGGGGGTTGGACTGGATGGCCCATGAGGTCTCTTCCAACCCTATGATTCTATGATTCTGTGACTCCAACCTTAATTTCTTCTGGCATCATATCTATTTGAGTCCAATATTTCTGAGCCCTTTTTGGACTGGTAGAATTAAAGGAACTTTGCCATTCTTGCTCAGGGCTGGTTTTCAAGTTCTGATCCTTTCCCTTTCATTTCTCTTCCCAGGATCCTTTGAGCCTTCAGTGCCTGCTGGAACCCACCTTCCTGGATCCCCTAAGCATGCCGGATTTCTCCCAACGCCTCCTGGCGCAATGTGTGCTGCTGGAAGGAGCCCGGGCGGAGGGATCCTGTGTCTCCGGCACCATCCGGGTGCTCAACTTGGCCTATGAGAAACGGGTCTCCGTCCGTTACACCTGGGACTACTGGGCCACCAGGCATGATGCCCGGGCCTCCTATGCCGCCCCTGCAGGCCGGGGCCGAGACCATGCCGACCGTTTTGCCTTCCGCTTGCTGCTGCCCGTCCCACTCCCTCCGGGAGTCTTTCTGGAGTTTGCCCTGTGCTACGTGGTGGGTGGGAAGGAGTTCTGGGACAACAACGAAGGTCGAAACTATTCCTTCCGACCCCCGCCTTGCGTGGACGAGGAAGAGGAGCCCCCCAGTCCCACTCAGGATTGCTGTGAGACCGGGTGGATACACTTCCTATAAGGAGGAAGGAGTGATGTCCATCCACAGAAATACTAAGATGAAGGAGGAGGCCAAGGAGAGGACAAGGGAAGGGGAAAGTTTACTAAAACTCTCCCTTAACATGACTTGTCTTGAACCCAAGAATTGAGATGGTGTGATAGCTCTCCTGTCCACAGCTTGAAACCTTGGCTTCTATTGTTAGGCAGATCTACACTGCAGAATTAATGTGACGTGACCGCTTTCAATTGCCATAGCTCCATACTATCAAATCATGGGAGCTGTCATTTTACAAGATCCTTAACCTTCTCTGCCAACTGATGTGGGCACCTCACTAAGCTACAACTTCTGTACTTCCATACCATTGAAGTGGTGTCAAACTGCATTATTTCTACAGTGTAGAATTATAGAATCCTAGAGTTGGAAGAGACCTCATGGGCCATCCAGAGAAACCACTTAAATCCACAAGCATGTGGACAATCATAGAATCAAAGAGTTGGAAGAGACCTCATGGGCCATCCAGTCCAACCCCTTGCCAAGAAGCAGGAATATTGTATTCAAATCACCCCTGACAGATGGCCATCCAGCCTCTGTTTAAAAGCTTCCAAAGAAGGAGCCTCTACCACACTCCAGGGCAGAGAGTTCCTCTGCTGAACAGCTCTCACAGTCAGGAAGTTCTTCCTAATGTTCAGGTGGAATCTCCTTTCTTGTAGTTTGAAGCCATTGCTCCGCATCCTAGTCTCCAGGGAAGCAGAAAACAAGCTTGCTCCCTCCTCCCTATAACTTTCTCTCACATATTTATACATGACTTTCATATCTCCTGTCAGCCTCCTCTTCTTCAGGCTAAGCATGCCCAGCTCTTTAAACCGCTCCTCATAGGGCTCGTTCTCCAGACCCTTGGTCATTTTAGTCTCCCTCCTCTGGACACATTCCAGCTTGTCAATATCTTTTTTCAATTGTGGTGCCCAGAATTGGACACAATATTCCAGGTGTGCTCTAACCAAGGCAGAAATGAGCATGGGGGGCATGACTTCCCTGGATTTAAACACAAGACCCCTATTGATGCAGGAGTAGATACACCCTTTGTTCTTTGATGTAGATACATCCCTTGTCGTTTCAGCCATAAGATCCCTCCCAGGAACTGATGACTGCTAGACCAGACAAGCAGATCCAGTCTAATAAAGCATGATCGGCATCATTGCTGATGCAGAAAATCCAGAAAATACAATGGTGACGATTGACGGTCTAACAAATAAAACAGACATCTAGCCTTATGCACACACTACACTAGAAAAACCTGTTTCAAATGAAGGGCTCGTTCACACAGCCATATAACCCAGAATATCAAGGCCGATAATCTACAATATCTGCTTCGAACTGGGTTATCTGAGTCCACACTGCCATATAATCCAGTTCAAAGCAGATAACGTTGGATTTTATACAGCTGTGTGGAAGGGGCCTTAGGCTGCATTTGTATTATGGAATTGATGCAGGTGACACCACTTGTTAAGTGCCATGGCTCAAGGCTTTGGAATCAGGAGAGTTGTAGTTTTACAAATTGTTTTGCCTGGTGCCTCTCCTACAAATCTCAAGATTCCATAGCACTGAGCCACAGAAGTTAAAGTGGTGCCAAACTACATTACTTCTACAGTGGAGATGCACCGCTTTGTCTGCCAGTGAAATGGCAACAGGAAATGGGCATCTAAGCCTCCTGTGGGAGGGAGTTCCACTGTCTGGGAGCAGCCACTAAAAAGACCCTCTTGTGCTCACAAAATATGTGGCAGGGATTTAAAGAAGGGTGTCCCTTTAAATATAAATGCCGACAGGCTCATGGGGAGATAAGTGTCCTACAGCTATCCTGGATCCAAGGGCACTTCCAGACAGGCCCTATATCCTAGGTTTTCTGTTTATCCCAGATTATCTGGCAGTATGGATTCATATAATCCAGGTTTTCTGATCCCAGAAAACCTGGGATCAGATCCTGGGATATGATCCCAGTGGTGTCTCATTTGTGCCTTAATGTGAAATGGAGTAAGCTAAATGGGGAAGGAAAGAAGGGAAAGATGGAATAAAAGAAAGAGGGAAGAAAGGAAGCATGGAAGGAAGGAAAGAAGGGAAGGAAGTCAAGAAGGAGAGAAAGAGGGAAGAAAGTAAGAAAAAAAGAAGGAACAAAGGAAGAAAAGAAGGAAGAAAGAAAAGAAGGAAGGATGGACGAAAGGAAAAGGAAGGAAAGAAAGAAGGGAAGAGGGAAGAAGAAGAAGAAGAAGGGAAGGAAAGAAGGAATGAAAGAAGGAAGGAAGGAAGGAAGGGGAAAAAGGAAGGATGGATGGATGGATGGAAGGAAAAAATGGAAAGAAGGGAAGAAAGGAAGCATTGAAAGAAGGAAGGAAGAAAAAGAAGGAATAAAGGAAAGAAGGAAGGATGGAAGGAAGGAAAGAAAGAGGAAAGAAAGGAAGCATGGAAGGAAAGAAGGGAAGGAAGCGAAGGAGAGAAAGAGTGAAGAAAGTAAGAAAAAAAGAAGGGATGAAGGAAAGAAAGAAAGAAGGAAGGAAAGAAAGAAAGGAAGTATGGAAGGAAAGAAGGGAAGGAAAGAAAGAAAGAAGGGAAGAGGGAAGAAGAAAGGAAGGAAAGAAAGAAGGAAGAAAAAATGAAGGAAGGATGGAAAGGGAAGAAAGGAAGCATGGAAAGAAGGAAGGAAGAAAAAGAAGGAAGGAAGGAAGGAAAAAGAGGGAAGGAAGGAAGCATAGAAAGAAGAAAGGAAAGAAGGAAGGAAGACAAAGAAGGGAAAGATGTAAGGAAGGAAGGAAAGAAAGAGGGAAGAAAGAAAGCATGGAAGGAAGGAAGGAAGGAAGTCTTTTGGTGAAAAGAAAAAATGATGTTTTCCACTGCCATTGAGGAATGGACCTTCTTGTGCCACCACTTCCACAATTGTACCTAAAAACACAGCTTATCATTCCTGAGAACTCATTTACACATATTACTGTCATCCTCTTGCATGAATACATGGGAACTGTGGAATCTATGAATGTGATATGTTTGTGTTGATATTTCATCTCACATGTTCTGAACTAGCTGCTTTTTTTCTATTTCCATTCGTATTATTCCTTGCGCATGTTTTTATCCGGATAAAAAATGGGTGCGTGGTTTAGCAATCTGTCCCTCGATGTGAAACGAATGAATGCTTGTACCGGGTTAATGCGTAACAGTCTCAGAAGTGGTGTCGAACTGTATTAACTTTACAGTGTGGATCAGGCATGGGCAAACTTTGTCCCTTCGGAGGTTTTGAACTCCAACTCCCACAATTCCTGACAGCCTCAGGCCCCTTCCTTTTCCCCCTCGGCCGCTTAAGTGGCTGAGGGGGAAAAGGAAAGGGCCTGAGGCTGTCAGGAATTGTGGGAGTTGGAGTTCAAAACCCCCGAAGGGACAAAGTTTGCCCATGCCTGGTGTAGACACGTCTAAAGTGATGGAATCCTATTGAATATGGTCTAATCTGCTTTTGCACTTCTATGTAACCATTTAATACCATCTATGAAAGAAAGTTTACATTTATGATTGTAACTAATCAATACAGCAGGAAAGATGATTTTGTCTGAAGAAACCAAAGAAATAAAACAGTGGAAAAAAAAATATCAGTCTGAAATTATTTTCAACAGCTACTTGACCAGAAATATAAATGCTCAAACAGACAAGAGTTCTTTCTCCCTCCCTGGACATCCCACAGATATATAAACCCCATTTTCTCAGTTTCCAACAGACCTCACAACCTCTGAGGATGTCTGCCTTAGATGCGGGTGAAATGTCAGGAGAGAATGCTTCTGGAACATGGCCATACAGCCCAGAAAACACAAAACAACCCACTAGACATGCTCTCTTTGCCTGCGTTAACAGAACACCATTTTAATATAATGTTGAAGGCTTTCATAGCTGGAATCACGGGGTTGTTGTAAGTTTTTTGGGCTATATGGCCACGTTCTAGTAGCATTCTCTCCTGACATTTTGCCTGCATCTATGGCAAGCATCCTCACAATCTCTGGGGATGTTTGCCATAGTTGCAGGCAAAATGTCTGGAGAGAATGCTTCTAAAACATGGCCATATAGCACAAAAAAACCTACAACACAATTTTAATGCTTGTGCTTGCATATGAGCATATGTGATGCACTGATGTGAAAAGCAGCGAAAGAAAGGGAGTCTTGTGGTACTTTTAAAGATCATTTTAGCATGGGTTATAATCCACTTCATCAGATGTGCTGACAGTGTGCATTCTTCCAGCCTTGGGCAGAAAAACAATTGTTATCACACGCCGTAAACCTTGAAAAGGATGGTCTAACACAAGCATCCTGACATTTATACAGTAATGTACGGGTCTGCTGAGTTGTTAATTGCCTCTGAAATGTCTGAAGCTTTGAGGCCTGTTCCTGGAGAGATAAGGTAGGCCTGCTGAAAGGAACTTGTGCAAAAGGCAGAACTGAGATTCTGAGCCAACTGAGGATGACCGAAATGTAAGTGTGGTTGTTCGGATGCGCTGGAGACGCTTAAGCGGAATTTAGTCTGGTCCAATGCAAAAGGCACAATAACTGCACAAAGGCAAGAAGAAACTGCCCTGGGTCACCTTAGGGCTGAGAATGGCGGTATACAAATATAGTAAATCAATAAATCACAAAAACTTTACACTTGTCAGCAGAGTTAAAACAAAAACTTGCAGTGTTGCATGCAAAATAAACTGCAACAGACTTCCATAGTCCTTGTAAGAATTACAGAATGCGAAGAGCATGGCTTCATAATCCTTCAAAATAGTGAAGAGTAGAGACATCACACCAGCAACGAAGATCCACATAGTTAAAGCAATTATATTCCCCATAGTCACCTATGGATGTGAGAGCTGGACCATAGGGAAGGCTGAGCGAAGAAAGATTGATGCTTTTGAACTGTGGTGCTGGAGGAAAGTTCTGAGAGTGCCTTGGACCGTGAGAAGATCCAACCAGTCCATCCTCCAGGAAATAAAGCCCGACTGCTCATTGGAGGGAAGAATAGTAGAGGCAAAGATGAAGTACTTTGACCACATCATGAGAAGAAAGGAAAGCTAAGGATGATAAGAAGATAATGATGCTGGGGAAAATGGAAGGAAAAAGAAAGAGGGACCGACTAAGGGCAAGATGGATGGATGGGATCCTTGAAGTGACTGGCTTGACCTTGAAGGAGCTGGGGGTGGTGACAGCCAACAGGGAGCTCTGGCGTGGGATGATCCATGAGGTCATGAAGAGTTGGAAATGACTGAACGAACAACAACACACTGGCAACTAAGGTCTGCATAGTTAAAGCAACAGCATTCCCTGTGAGAGCTGGACCAGAAGGAAGGCTGAGCGAAAGAAGATAGATGCTTTGGAGGAAAATTCTGAGATTTTTCCATGATTCTATGAAGGAAAAAGAGGATTTAAAAGGCAAGACTGGCAGGGAGAAAAGGAAAAGAACGAAAATGAGTAAGAGAGAGAGCCAGTGCTCAAAGCAATTACTTCTCTTAGTGCGACTTATGTCAATTTAGAGGAGCAAAAGGAAATTTGGAAACATGAAGAGACCCCAGAGCACAGGCTGCCCCTTCCTCTCCCTCCTCTGTTTTTCTGTTTCTCCACCTCCAACTCACTCTCCTCCTCCTCCCTCCATCTCTCCTTCTCTCCCTCCATCCAAATTCCTTTCTCCCCTCCTCTCTTTCTGTTCAGATCCCTCCTTCTTTTCCCTCCGAGGCAGAAAGAAAGAAAGAAAGAAAGAAAGAAAGAAAGAAAGAAAGAAAGAAAGAAAGAAAGAAAGAAAGAGTGGGTGCCTGCGCTTGCTCTGAAGAGACAAATCCTCCACTGTCCTCATTCCCAAAACTTTCCGCAGGTAAACTTTTCCAGATTGAACTTTCCTTCTAGTTGAGACGGTTGGGGAAGGAAGCCATCATACATCTAGGGCCCCTTCCACAAAGCTGAGTAAAATCCCACATTATTGGCTTTGAACTGGAATATATGGCAGGGCGGACACAGAAAACCCAGTTCAAAGCAGATCTTGTGGGATTTCCTGCCTTGATATCCTATATGGCTGTGTGAAAAGGCCTTAGTTTCCTCCCTCCCATCCTTTGTAAAAGCAAGAGGTTTGGGACTTGTTGGATTTTGGAGGGATGTGTATCTCTCATCCGACATTACTTATCCAAACTCTGGGGGGGCATGAAGTGGTTATTCCCATAACCGAACCCCTTTTCTCGGCCCCCAGGAATGAGTACTGTCATTACTACTTATTTTATTCCTCCAGAAAGGCCGCTATGCGGTGGAGCAATTTGCAATGCACACCCCACAACCCCCAGGGCAAAATATACAATATACGAGAGTTGAATGAAAAGTAATGCCTCCAACTTCATAACTCCTCAAGAGATGTGATTACTGGTATGCGGCAGGTACTGGCTTGTTCAGTAGACTCTCCTCTACAGTTCCATTTTGGTGAGAAGCCTTAGCATTGAACGGTTGTGTTGTTAAAGTGCGAAGTATGGAGCCCTGCGCAGACGGTCGGTCAATGTGACTTAAGCAATGTGCAGTCATTGAATTCTTGACAACAGAAGTGTCACCCCAAAGGAGATTCATCAGAGAATGCAAGCTGTTTATGGTGATTGTGTGATGTGAGTACTGTGTGTCGTTGGGTGAGTAAGTTTAAAGATGTTGAGGTGAGAACATCTGACTTGCGTGACAAACAAAGAGTTGGACATCCTGTGACAGCAACCACTGAGTTTCACAAGCAAAAGGTTGACAGATTGATTTAGGATAATCGTTGTATCATTCAGAGAGAAATTTCAAACATAAGTCACCTTCGGGCTGATATGGGCGGGGTAAAAATAGCATAAATAAATAAATAAATATTTCACAAGAATGTGTGGGTCACATTATTGCTTTGCTTGGCTATCAGAAGATCTGTGCACGATGGGTACCCAGGATGAGAGAACTGTGAGACGCTGATTGCGGAAACAAGTGTCAACTTCTTCCGTGGTGGCTTCAGAAAACTTGTTCATCGTTGGCAGAAATGTATCCAATTGTCTGGTGGTTATATGGAAAAGTGAATAATGGTCGTTAAAGAGCACAATCTAAGGATTATTTCTGTGTTTGATTTATTAAAATATTCCCATCCAAACCCAAGTAACGAAGGTGGAGGCATTACTTTTCATTCAACCCTCGTAATAACAAGAGAGTTTTTCAACATCTTGAAGACCTTTTGATTTGAGGCAAGAAATAAGGGGAAGTTTATGTGAGCCTCTAAAAGTGCGAGATATTTCAGGATAGGTGCATTTAGCACAGGCATGGGCAAGCTTGGGCCCTCCAGGTGTTTTGGACTTCAACTCCCAGAATTCCTAACAGCCTCAGGCCCTTTCCTTTCCCCCCTCAGCCGCTTAAGTAAAGGTGATGGCAACATAACCCTCTCCCAACCCTAAAGTTGCCCTCTCCTGCTTTAGTGCCATAACAATTTCAAAAGTTTTTTTTGTGTGTGTATGTTTGTGTGTCAGGGGTGACTTGAAAAACTGCAAGTTGCTTCTGGTGTGAGAGAATTGGCCGTCTGCAAGAACGTTGCCCAGGGGACGTCTGGATGTTTTGATGTTTTATCATCCTTATGAGAGGCTTCCCTCATGTCCCTGCAATGGGGAGCTGGAGCTGACAGAGGGAGCTCATCCACACTCTCCAAAGTATTAAAAGTTGGCAGTCAAGTGAAGCTGTCAATGAGACTATGAAACCTCAAATGTAACTGATCGGAATGGAGACTTCCCTTTGATTTTGTTTCTCTCTAAGGTGCACCTGCCTTGTTCCCAAACACCATAGGGATGCCTGGTGGCGTGAGCTTGCTTTTGGTGGCAGCGACGTGGGCCGTGGCCTCCCCTGCCGACACTTGCAATAAAGCCCTTTGCGCCAGTGATGTCAGCAAATGCCTGCTGCAGGTAAGATTACAGAGATAAAAGCAAGCTACAAAATAATACTAATACTAAAGTAAAGGTCAAGGTTTCCCCTTGACATGAAGTCTAGTCACGTCCAACTCTGGAGAGTGATGCTCATCTCTATTTCTCAGCCGAAGAGCCAGCATTGTCCGAAGACACCTCATGTGGCAGGCTTACTTACTTACTTACTTACTTACTTACTTACTTACTTACTTAGGCGATCCCTCGTAGTCCAAGGCTGATAGTCCTCCAAGTTCAGTGTCCTGGCGGTGGATCCGTAGGTGACTGTGGAGCCCTATTCTTGATCTGCATCTTCTCCCGCAGTGCGGGCATTGGTTTCCAGGTGGAAGACGGTCTCAGTCGGGGTTGGCTTGACGCGCCTTCCTCTTGGCACGTTTCTCTCTTTTACCCTTCCGTTTGTGCCTCTTCAAATTCTACAGCATTGCTGGTCACAGCTGACCTCCAGCTGGAGGTCAGCTGTGCCAGGGCTTCCCAGTTCTCAGTGTCTATGCCAGAGTTTTTGAGGTTGGCTTTGAGGCCAGCATGACTACTAATACTACTCCTAACAATAGTACAATAGTAGGGGTTTTTTGAGGCAGTGTTATGATCCCTTTACCTGTCGTCTCTTGGCAGGAAGTGTGCCAGTGCGAAGCAAACCGTGCTGGCTGCCCATGCTGTCGGGAATGCGCCTTTTGCTTGGGCAACCTTTGGGAGACTTGCTGCGACTGTGTGGGTAAGGAGAATCCAAGGGCAGCGGTCTGCTGCTCCCCATTGTCAACCGAGAGATTCTGGGAGTTGTCGTCCAAAACAGAAAGCTGTGTTGCTGTTTGAGGACATCAGAGCCAGGAACCCATACTCACACTCCAAACAAGCAAAGTGTTCCAGACTATAATTTAGGGAGACTCAAAGTGGTTTACACATAGATAATGGCAAAAATTCAATGCCTTACAACTACAATAATAAATAGTAAAACCGCACTTCAAACATAAATCATATTAAAAACAATGCATCACCAAATATCAAAAGTTATTGCAACCATAAAACAAACTCATCAGTCGAGTCGCCGTTCCAGTCCTTGTCTCACTAAAAGCTGCATACATCTATTGTCCGAAAGTCTGGTCCCAGAACCATGATTTTAATTTTTTTTTCTAAACATCAGGAGCGAGGGAGCAGATCTTACTTCCTTTGGGAGTGTGTTCCATAGGCAAGGGGCCACAGCTGAGAAGGTCCTGCTCCTTGTCCCCGCCAGCCGTGGGAGTGAGAGCAGGGCCTCCCCGGATGACCTTAAATTGCGAGGTGGGGCATAGGGGCAGATGTGTTCAGACAGGTAAGCTGGGCCCGAACCGTATAGAGCCTTATAGGTCAAAACCAGCACTTTGAATTGCGCTTGGAGATGGACCGACACCCAGTGGAGCTGGCATAGCAGGGGGTGGTATGCTCCCTGTATGCCACCCCAGTTAGTAATCTGGCTGCCACCCATTGAACTAACTGAAGTTTCCGAACCGTCTTCAAAGGCAGCCCCACGTAGAGCGCGTTGCAGTAATCTATTCGGGATGTAACCAGAGCTTGGACAACCGTAGCCAGAGGGTTGTCAGATCAGTATAATCTCAGATGATGAGATTTCAGGTCAAAACCTGGACTCTGGGGGCAACCCCTTGTGATGACACAGTAGGCCAGCACCTATACTTTCAAAGGGGTAGCTTCTGATGTTGTGACCTGAGCATGACATGTTGAGCATCAGTTTACAAATTAGATGATTTTGGGAAAAAATGAATGAGATTGTCTCTTGCTTAGAGATGTCATCACCTCACTCAAGATCATAGAATCCTAGAGTTGGAAGAGACCTCATGGGCCATCAAGGCCAACCCCCTGCCAAGGAAGCAGAAAAATCACATTCAAAGCACCCTCTGCTTTAAAGCCTCTGCTTTAAAGCCTCCAAAGAAGGAGCCTCCACCACACTCCAGGGCAGAGTGTTCCACTGCTGAACAGCTCTCATAGGAAGTTCTTCCTAATGTTCTGGTGGAATCTCCTTTCCTGTAGTTTGAAGCCATTGTTCCACATCCTAGTCTCCAGGGCAGCAGAAAACAAATTTGCTTCCTCCTCCCTGTGGCTTCCACTCACATATTTATTCATGGCCCTCATCATGTCTCCTCTCAGTCTTCTCTTCTGTAGGCTAAACATGCCCAGCTCTTTAAGCCGCTCCTCATGGGGCTTGTTCTCTAGACCCTTGATTATTTTAGTTGCCCTCCTCCGGACACATTCCAGCTTGCCAACATCACCCTTCAATTGCAGTGGCCATAATTGGACACAGTGTGATTCCAGGTGTGGTCTGACTAAGGCTGAATAGAGGGGAAGCATGATTTCCCTGGATCTAGACATTATACTCCTATTTATGCAGGCCAAAATCCCATTGGTTTTTTTAGCCACCGCATGACATTGTTGTCTGTGTTCACCTTTCTGTCCACAAGGATCCCCAAGATCTTCTTCACATGTACTGCTGTCGAGCCACGCGTCCCCCATTCTGTATTTTTGCATGGGAAGTTGGCCAGGCTTTGAGTTCTAGAGCTTACCAAGGAAGGATTCTGACTTGACTTTTTCCTCCCGAGGGCTCTGCGATGAACGCCCTCTCTCCGCCCCTCGTCCAGCCCAGCGAAGCTCTATGCACAACCTGATGTCTCCCGTGCCCTCTCTTTTCCGTGCACTCACAGCCATCTCTGACAACGAGTCTCCTATGGGCTGGAGCATCTTGACTCTGCCAGTTGAGGAGGAGCTGAGACAGAACCACGTAGAGACAGACCATCTCTTGCTGGGGCCGCACACAGGTAGGTATACCTGGCGCAGAGGAGAAAGCATTGATGTCGCAATAATGAAGGAAGAATACGAGTGATGCACAATCATGAACTTCTCTCCTTCTTACTTGCAGGCTTGGTTCTCCCAGATGCTGAAGGCCTCAATGCCACCGCACCACCTTGCCAGTCCATTTTCTTCAACGAGTGCCTGTCCATGAGCCGATGCCGGACAGCTTGCCAGTCGGTGGGAGCCTGGCGCTACCGCTGGTTCCACAATGCCTGCTGCCAGTGTGTAGGGCCCGACTGCCGAGGTTATGGCGGGGCCCAAGCCATTTGTTCCAACTGCCGGGATTAACTCTCAGCTTTTCCCTTTACATGTACATGTACACATATGTGGGGCCCTCAACCAACTTATTTACCTGCCTACCTCTCTCTCCCACCTTCCCTTTCTTCCTATGCTGAGCGTTGTGAGCAAGACCAGTCCAATACATTTTTCATAACATTATTTTCTATGCTACTTCATAATTATAATTTTACTGCTGTTATGAATCATCATGTAAACACCTGATAAAGGTAAAGGTTTTCCCCTGACATTAAATCCAGTCATGTCTGACTCTGGGGGTTGGTGCTCATCTCCATTTCTAGGCCGAAGAGCCAGTGTTGTCCGTAGACCCCTCCAAGGTCATGTGGCCGGCATGACTGCATGGAGCGCCGTTACATCTGATAGGCTGGATGTATTTTCATTCATTGTACCAAATTTGGCACAAATACCCGATAGGCCCACATTTGAATACTGGTGGGGTTGGAGGAGGCATTGATTTTGTCATTTGGGAGTTGTCATTGCTGGGATTTATGGTTCACCTACAATCAAAGAACATTCTGAACTCCACCAAGGATGGAACTGAACCAAACTTGGTACACAGAGCTCCCATCACTAATAGAAAATACTGGAACGGTTTGGTGGACATTGACCTTGAATTCTGGAGTTGTAGTTCACTTACATCCAGAGAGCACTGTGGACTCAAACAATGATGTATCTGGATCAAACATGGCACAAATCCTCAATATGCCCAAATGTGAACACTAGTGGACATCTGGGAGTCGTAGTTGCTGGAATTTTTAGTTCACCAACTATCAAAGAGCATTCTGAACCCCACCAATGATAGAATTGGGCCAAACTTCCCACACATGTGTTTTCTGATGGTCTTTGGTGACCCCTCTGACACCCCCCTTGCAACCCCTCCCCCAGGGCTCCCAACCCTCAGATTAAGAAATACTGCCTTAGCCAGCATTATAATCTAATAAAAGGACTGTTTGAGGCTCTACTCCCATCTTATATACAACAAGAAATACTGTTTACCCACAAGCATAAAGCAATTACATATATTAGAAACCAACACTTTCTCATAACTTTATTTTCCAGCTCACTAGACTGGGCCAACGTGTGGGAGGGGATCGCTAGTAAATAATATTTCCCCCAAACTCCATCTGTGATTAAATTTGGGCATACTGAGGATTCGTGCCAGGTTTGGTCCAGATTCATCATTCTTTGAGTCCACAGTGCTCTCTGGATGTAGGTGAACTACAACTCCCATACTCAATGTCAATGCCCACCAATCCCTTCTAGTGTTTTCTGTTGGTCATGGGAGTCCTGTGTGCCACGTTTGGTTCAATTCCATCACTGGTGGAGTTCAGTATGCTCTTTGATTGTAGGTGAACTATAAATCCCAGCAACTACAACTCCCAAATGACAAAATCATTTTTTTTTAATGATGGCCACTCCTTTGGTTAGTAGGTGTATTGTGTCCAAATTTGGTGTCAATTCGCCCAGTGGTTTTTGAGTTCTGTTAATCCAACAAACGAACATTACATTTTTATTTATATAGATATCTTGACTGTTTGCATTCTACTTTCTGGTCTAATCTTATAGGCAAGTTCTCCTGGTGGCTTTCATCTGCTCCCCATAGATGTTCCATGGGGAACAGAGAGTTCATTTCATTGACTTCAGCAGCCTTTGGAAGCTTTTAAACAGAGGCTGGGTGGCCATCTGTCAGGGGTGCTTTGAATGCAATATTCCTGCTTCTTGGCAGGGGGTTGGACTGGATGGCCCATGAGGTCTCTTCCAACTCTTTGATTCTATGATTCGATACCTAGCAAGGATCCCTGTAGTAACCTCTCTTTCAGATCTTTCCCCAGTCCTGAACTTTCCAATCCTATTGCTTCCTATAGATCCATGTACAGATTGTCAGACTGCCTGTCTCCCTTTTGAATAATAAATAAATAGTATTGTCTGTATATTGTGTGGTTCAACTATCAAATTCCAAGATGCAGTTGGTCTTGTGTATCTAAGGGCTGTGCACCCACGGATTCAACTAACAAAGTATTGGTTCTCAAACTGCTATCCTTCAGACGTTTGGAACTTCAAGTCCTGATATTCCTGAGCACTGCTCATATTAGCTGAAATCAAAAATATCTCAAGGACCTGATTTTTAAATCCGCTGAAGGGGAAGGATTGATGAGAGAAAATAGTATTCTTGAAGTACTACATGTCCACCTGAAAATATGCAATAGGCAAAGGTTTCCGAGACCAGCTTTTGGCACCTGATTAACCACAGAATGTGGGCTTCCTAAGGTGTTGGATAACAGCTGTATCTTTAATCTCAGGTAAGCAAGTAGAACGCATGTTTGAAACCCTGATGGACCACCATATGTAGCAGGAGGGCCGAACTGGTGAGAAATAGATTTTGGGAGCTCTATTCTTCAGGCTGTGGGGTGAAGCCTTTCTGGAGATGCCAATCCATTCATTCATCTCTCATTTCCTCCATCAAAACCACCCTTGCATTTTATTAACCACATACGTTTCTGCAGTTGCACTTCCTTGCAGACAGGCCTTGTGATCCAATTAAAACTTTGGGTTGTTGTGAGTTTTCCGGGCTGTCTGGCCATGTTCCAGAAGCATTCTCTCCTGACGTTTCACCCACATCTATGGCAGGCATCCTCAGAGGTTGTGAGGTCTGTTGGAAACTAGGCAAGTGATGTTCAGGGTGGAAGAAAGAACTCTTGTCTACTTGAGGAAAGTGTGAATGTTGCAATTGACCACCTTGATTAGCATTGAAAGGCCTTTCAGCTTCAAGTCCTGGCTGCTTCGACCCAAGGGGAATCCTTTGTTGGGAGGTGATTAACTGGCCCTGATTAATTCTTGTCTGGAATTCCCCTGTTTTTTTTTAATGATCCTCTTTATTTACTGCCCTGATTTTAGAGTTTTTAAATATTGGTAGATTTTGTTCATTTTCATGGTTTCCTCCTTTCTGTTGACAATCTCCTTCAAACTACAAGAAAGGAGATTCCACCTGAACATTAGGAAGAACTTCCTGACTGTGAGAGCTGTTCAGCAGTGGAACTCTCTGCTCCGGAGTGTGGTGGAGGCTCCTTTGGAAGCTTTTAAACAGAGGCTGGATGGCCATATGTCAGGGGTGCTTTGAATACAATATTCCTGTTTCTTGGCAGGAGGTTGGACTGGATGACCCAAGAAGTCTCTTCCAACTCTGATTCTATGATTCTGTGATTGTCCACATGCTTGTGGATTTAAATGGTTTCTCTGTGTAGTCTGACTGGTGGTTGCGAGAGTGGTCCAGCATTTCTGTGTTCTCAAATAATATGTTGCGTTCAGGTTGGTTCATCAGGTGCTCTGCTATGGCTGACTTCTTGGTTGGATTAGTCTGCAGTGCCTTTCATGTTCCTTGAGTCATGTTTGTGTGCAATAGTCCTTCCTCTCACCCTGGATATTCCACAGACATATAAACTCCACTTGCCTAGTTTCCAACAGACCTCACAGCCTCTGAGGATGCCTGCCATAGATGTGAGCGAAAATACTTCTGGAACATGACCATACAGCCTGAGAAACTCACAGCAACCCAGATTTTTAGTTGGATTGCAAGACCTGTCTGCTGTCAACAATGCAATAGAACCTTGAGCTGGCCAAGACCAGGGTTCTACTCAATTTCAATAGAAAGGCCGAAACCATGAAAATGAACAAAATCTGGTTACCAGTATTTTAAAAAAACCTCTAAAATCAGGACAGTAAATAAAGAGGAACACTCAAAAACAGGGAATTCCAGACAAGAAACAAGCAGGGCCAGCTAATCACTAGGCATGGGCAATCCATGGTTCTAAATGGTTCTAAAGTGCTTACAAAACTAGAGGGCGCTGGTGCTTTGCTTCTAAAGTGTTGCTAAATTTTTGGTGGTGAAAATTTCAGAACTCTAACAAAACTATCAAAATTTTATTATTTCGTTATTGGCGATTTTTATGACAGAACTGCCATTTATAGGAACTTTTAGGAACTGCCATTTATAATGAAATTTTTGTAAGTTTTGTTAGAGTTCTGAAATTTTCACCACCAGAATTTTAGCAACACTTCAGAAGCAAAGCATCAGCGGCCCCTAGTTTTGTAAGTACTTTAGAACCATGGATTGTCTGTGCCTACGAATCACCTCCCAACAAAGGATTCCCCCAGGCAGGAAACAGCCAAGCCTTGAAGCTGCAAGGCTATTCAATGCTATTCAAGGTGGCCCAATTGCAATATTCACACCTGCCTCAAATAGAGAAGACTTCTTTCTTCCACCCTGAACATTACACAAATATATAAACATCTAATCACCTCTCAACAAAAGTTTGCTCCAGGCACTGCCGGGCAATCAAATGCTAATCAAGGTGATCAGTTGAAACATTCACACCTAGCTCCAGCAGACAAGAGTCCTTTGTCCCACCCTGCTCATTCCACAGATATATAAACCCTTTTTCCTAGTTCCAACAGATCTCGCTACCTCTGAGGATGCTTGCCATAGTTGCAGGCGAAACGTCAGGAGAGAATGCCTCAGTCTAGACCATGGCCATATAGAGTGAAAAAACCTACAACAACCCAGTGATTCCGGCCATGAAAGCCTTCGACAATACATTACACAAATACATAAACCCCACTTGCCTAGTCAGGAGAAAATGCTTCTGGAACATAGCCAGACAGCCTGGAAAACTCACAGCAAACCAGTGTAGGGTTGTTTCCCCATTCAAACGCATGCTGCTTTGGAAGCGCCAAGACAACACAACTAAAAGTCCCCTTTCCCAGCCTTGTTAAGCTCTGTTTCTCCAGCCTTGCCAAGGAGCTGCAGCTAAAACCTGCCAGTGGTTCTCAGCCCGGGGTCCCCAGATGATTTTGGCCTTCAACTCCCAGAAATCCCAACAGCTGGTAAACTGGATGGGACTTCTGGGAGTTGTAGGCCAAAAACATCTGGGGACCCCAGGTTGAGAACCACTGAAAGGCCAAGAAAACCTGAGCAGGCTTTATTAACGGAGGTATCAAGGACAAAAATCCCAGTTCCCTTTCACCTGGTCAGGAGCAGCTTTCCGCCCTAAATGTTCCAGAACGGTGGAAGCAACAATGATGGGAAAGCATGCCTCTGAGCACGTGCAGAGTGAAGTCTGGCAAGCCAGCCCTCTGCATGGCAAGGAGGGGGTGGGGAGGTTGGGGTTGAAGGTAAAGGGGTGTGGTTTGAGCTCGGGCCAAGTCCCCTTTGTTGTGTTGCTTTGTTATTCCAAAATAGAGTTGGTTCACCTAAGCAGCTGGATTGTGCCTTTCTTCCTGCCTTTCAAAAGCTGAGTGGACCACCGCCCCGCCTCTTGCAGCCCCTGCCAGGCCCCTGGATGGCTCTGCCGCCCTGCCCGTCCTCTGTGATGCTCGCCGGTCCCTCCCGGGTGGGTGAGCCCCCTTTCCCCTCCATGGCCCCGGCCTCTCCCCCTCATGAGGCCCTTGCAGCCCCCTTCGCCTCCCCTTCCTTCCTGGCCTCCCTCTCCCCCTATTTGCTGCCATTCTCTCCTCTTTTCCTCCCTTTTCCTTTTGTCTACCCCTTCCTTCCTTTTGTCTGCCTCTTCTCTTTCTGTCATTGTCTCCTTCTGTCCTTCCAAGTTCCTACTTTTCTTTCCTCTCCTGCCTTGCTCCCCACCTCCTTTCTTCTTCCCTCCGCTCCCTTCTTTCTTTGCCTTTTGATCTCTCCATAGTGACAGCATGCTCTTCTTTCCCATCTTTCTTTCCGAGTTGGGGGAAGAGAAGGTAAGTGGTTCCAAAGAATAGCCATTTGCTTCCTCTTCCCAAACCCCTCCTGTCTTTGCTGGGGGTCCTTCCACACAGCCCTATTCAGCTGGGTGGAAGGGCCCCCCGGAATATCAAGGCAGGAAATCCCACATTATCTGAGTGCGGACTCTAGGGGCCCTTCCACCCAGCTGAATAAAATCCCACATTTTCTGCTTTGAATTGGAATATATGACAGTGTGGACTCAAATAACCCAGTTCAAAGCAGATATTGTGGGATTTCCTGCCTTGATATTCTGGGTTATATGACTTTGTGGAAGGGCCCTAAGATATAGGGCTTGAGGAAGGGCCCCAAGACAATATAACAGGAAGAAAAGGATGCTCTGATGGTGATCCTTAAAGCGCTTTTCTGTTTCTTTTCATCTTTTGCTAAAAGGGAGGATCTGAGAAATTGGGCAATTCCTTGGAAGCATGGGGAAAGCAGGCGGGTTGGGTGGCATGGGAGGAAGTGTGGGGTTTTGTATTGTCAGAGGCTTTCGTGGCCGGAATCACTGGATTGTTGTGAATTTCCCAGGCGGTATGGTCATGTTCCAGAAGCATTATCTCCTGACATTTCGCCTGCATCTATTGCAGGCATCCTCAGAGGTTATGAGCTCTCTTGTCTTCCTCAAACAGACAATACTTTTCTCCCACCATGGACATTAGTTGTGGCAGGAATCACTGGGTTGTTGTGAGTTTCCCAGGAGGTATAGTCACGTTCCAGAAGCATTCTCTCCTGACGTTTCATCTGCATCTATGGCAGGCATCCTCAGAGGTTGTGAGCTCTCTTGTCTTCCTCAAACAAACAATAGTTTTCTCCCGCCATGGACATTAGTCTGTGGCAGGAATCACCGGGTTGTTGTGAGTTTCCCAGGCAGTACGGTCATGTTCCAGAAGCATTCTCTCCTGGCATTTCGCCTGCATCTATGGCAGGCATCCTCAGAGGTTGTGAGCTCTCTTGTCTTCCTCAAACAGACAATAGTTCTAGAACATGGCCATATAGCCCGAAAAAACCTACAACAACCCAATAGTTCTTTCTCCCACCCTGGACATTAGTCCGTGGCCGGAATCACTGGGTTGTTGTGAGTTTCCCAGGTGGTATGGTCATGTTCCAGAAGCATTATCTCCTGACATTTTGCCTGCATCTATGGCAGGCATCCTCAGAGGTTCTGGGATCTCTTGCCTTCTTCAAACAGACAAGAGTTCTTTCTCCCGCCCTGGACATTCCATAGATATATAAACCCCACTTGCCTAGCTTCCAACAGACCTCACAACTTCTGAGGATGCCTGCCATAGTTGGGGGAGAAACTTCAGGAGAGAATGCTTCTGGAACATATATGGCAAGCATCCTCAGAGGTAGTGAGGTCTGTTGGGAATTAGGAAAATTGAGTTTATATATCTGTGGAATGTCCAGGGTGGGAGAAAGAACTCTTGTCTGTTTGAAGAAGGCAAGAGATCTCACAACCTAAGAGGATGCCTGCCATAGATGGGGGAGAAACATCACAAGAGAATGCTTCTGGAACGTGGCCAGACACTCTGGAAAACTCACAGCAACCCAGGTGTAGGATTGTTTCCTTATACAAGCGCATGCTGCTTTGGAAGTGCCAAGACAATACTTTGCCCCAAAGGGTTAATATCTGTGTTATTTCTCCTCCCTTTTGTGTCTGCATGTGTATACACACAGATTTTGAATTGCATGCTTTGGACTGGATCCATTGTTTTGGGTTGTTTTACTCCCATGTGCCTTTGATGATGTCCTATAAATAAACAATGTTGCCATCACCAACATCAACAATATCTCTGGACAGAGAAGAAACAGTTGCAGTGTAGAGCTTAGGACCTCCTTACTTACTTACTTAGGCGATCCCTCGTAGACCGAGGATGATGGTCCTCCAAGTGATGTGTCTTGGTGGTGGATACGTAGGTGGCTGTGGAGCCCTATTCTTGACTTGCATGTTCTCCCGCAGTGAGGGCATTACTTTTCAGATGGAAGGCCATCCCGCTCAGAGTTGGATTGACGCGCCTTCCTCTTGGCACGTTTCTCTCTTTCACCCTACATTCGTGCCTCTTCAAATTCTGCAGCACTGCTGGTCACAGCTGATCTCTAGCTAGAGTGCTCAAGGGCCAGGGCTTCCCAGTTCTCAGTGTCTATGCCACAGTTTTTAAGGTTGGCTTTGAGTCCTCCTTTGAATCTTTGCAGGATTTTCCGGAGGCAGCACTGATGGAATCATTCTAGGAGTTGCATGTGACGTCTGTAGACAGTCCACGTTTCGCAGGCATAGAGCAGGGTTGGGAGGACAATAGCTTTATAAACAAGCACCTTGGTATCCCTATGGATGTCCCGGTCCTCAAACACTGCTTCATTCAGAAAAATGCTGCACTTGCAGAGCTCAGGCGGTGTTGTATTTCAGTGTCAATGTTGACTTTTATGGAGAGGTGGTTGCCAAAGTAGCGGAAATGGTCAACATTTTCTAATGTTACACTATTAAGCTGTACTTCTGGCATTGGAGAGGGATTGGCTGGTGACTGCTGGAAGAGCACTTTTTATTATTATTATTAATTATTATTAAACTTTATTTGTACCCCGCTAGCATCTCCCGAAGGATTCGATGCAGCTTACACAGGCCGAGGCCTCAACAACACAACATAACTTTGGTTTTCTCAATGTTCAATGAGAGGCCAAGCTTCTCGTATGCTTCTGCGAAGGCATTTAGAGTGGCTTGTAGGTCTTCTTCTGAATGCGCACAGACGATGTTGTCATCAGCATATTGGAGTTCTATAACAGATGTTGTTGTGACCTTGTTTTGGCTTTCAATAACTTGCCATCTGTTCGATAGATGATTTCCACTCTGGTGAGAAGCTTCCCATCAACAAGATAAAGTATCATAGCGATGAAGATGGAAAATAAGGTTGGGGCAATAACACATCCCTGTTTGTATCCAATTATCTGGTGATTATGTGGAAAAGTGAATAGTGGTAGTTAAAGAGCACATTCTAAGGATTATTTCTGCGTTTGGTTTATTAAAATATTCCCATCCAAACCCAAGTGAAGAAGGTGGAGGCATTACTTTTCATTCAACCCTCGCATTTATGGATTTTAGGGTTAGCTGATCCAGGACATTCAGAAGAGAGTTCTGGGCAGTCGAATGGGAGAAGCTTTTTTCTGGTCGGGAGGGGGCGATAGGGAAGGAGAGCAGAGAAGGAGACATAGATGGAGGAGGACCAATTCAGGGTCTGGAGCCTCTTAAAGGGACCGTTTCCCAGGATGACGGGACTCCGCCTTTTCCCTTCGTTTCCCAGCGTGCACTGCAGGGAGCAGGGGAGAGAGAAAGAAGGAAGAAAAGTCCTGAAGTGGGGAGGAGGAGGAGAAAAGTGAGTCTGGGCAAGAAAATCCAGGTTTGGGAGGTGGCCTGCGGAATTGCAACGCAGGGAGGGATAGGAAATGTTTGGTGTGGGGTTGGGAGGGAGGGCGGTGGTATTCAGGAAACTGTAGGGCTTGGAAGAAGAGGAAAGGCCTTCCTTGGAGGTTGGGTTTGTTGTCGTCCGAGAGATCTGTTAACACAACCCACCCACCCATCACGTGTCCTGCTAAATATCTGTTGTTGTGATCTATTAAGTCTGTGCGGCTCCACAAGCAGTACCATAGACAAAAAACAGTTGCAAAACTTTGGTTTCACATTGTGCAAAACTAATAAATCCAGGCTTCAGGCATTGAATTTTCTTTGTCTTATAAACTGGCATTAATTGCACCCTTATTGTTATATTTAATCCAAGGCCATCTGTTTCCAGGGCCATTGGGCCTCATCACACTAGAGGAAAAAATCCACTTAAAATCTGGTTGCTGCCTCTTGCAGAAATCTGGGGTTTGTAGTTTAGTGAGGAGCCTTTGACAGCCTCACAGAACTACACACCCCAGAACTCTGCAGGAGGCCAAAACTGGATTTTAAGTGGATTTTTTTCTTTAGTGTGATGAATTTTCAGTATGGCCAATTAGGGCTGCTGGTTGGTGTTGAGTTTGGTTTGGATTTATTTTCTGTATTGTCAAAGGCTTTCATGGCTGGAATCACTGGGTTGTTTTAGGTTTTTCGGGCTATATGGCCGTGTTCTAGAAGTATTCTCTCCTGACGTTTCACCTGCATCTATGGCAAGCATCCTCAGAGGTTGTGAGGTCAAAACCTCTGAGGATGCTTGCCATAGATGCAGGTGAAACATCACTTCACTTCACTTTATTTCTTAATTCGTCACTCTCCACAAAGGTGCTCCGAGCGACTTACAGTCTAAAATAGCATTTACACAATATAAAAACATTCAACATAAAAACATTCAACAGTGACTATTTGGCAAATTAGATCTGATTACTTAAATGCACAACCAAACAGCCAAGTCTTGAGTGCCTTTACAAAAGGTCGCAACTCCGACATTGCTTTAATGTATGGAGGCAATGAGTTCCACAGAATTGGAGCATAGAGAATTCTAGAGAATGCTTCTAGAACATGGCCATATAGCCCGAAAAACCTACAACTTCAATTTTAAGTTCCTGGCCTGTGTAAATTATCTAAAATCAAAATTGCACTGTCTTCTGAAATGTTATCGGTTGCAAAAGCTTGAACAGATGTGAGAAAACACATAGGAAGCAGCAGGAGAGGGACTGAAGCTGCTATTGTTCAAAAGTTAACTTTTCCAAAACGAGATATAATCTCTAGACCAGTGGTTCTCAACCTCTGGGTCCCCAGATGTTTTGGCCTTCAGCTCCCAGAATTCCTAACAGCTGGTAAACTGGCTGGGACCTCTAGTTGTTGTAGGCCGGCCTGTAGCGAGGGGGTGGTTTTAGGGGTTCAACCCCCCCCCCTGAAATGTTTCAGATTTTTTTAAAAAACCTGGTTTACTCATGAATTTTAACTGGTTAACCAAATCCCCATGCTAAGTCTATGAGATGCAAAAACTTAAGTCCCTCCAGAACTGCAAGCACTATCTCAGGCAAATACTGACAATTTATTTACACTGTCATTACTTGCAGCAATAGCCGATGTAGCGAAGCAACCAAGTTGGGGAGTGGGTGGGTGTTGAATGCTTTCATTAAGGAGGCCAGACTTGGTGGAGGTGGTTGACAGGGGCGGAGCTGCAGGCTATTGAAGGCTGCTCTGCCCCCTGCTGTGCTCTTTGCTTCAGCGTGAGCTAGGAGGCAGGTTTCAATCCCCCCCCCCGTGAAATTTTCAACCCCCCCCCCCCGAAAATTTCAACCCCTCCCGAAATTTTTTTCTGGCTACGGCCCTGGTAGGTCAAAACACCTGGGGACATACAGGTTGAGAACCACTGCTCTAGACTAATAAGCAGTATTCAAGCAATATTTCCAGCTCAGATGTGCTTAAGCAGGTTGTGATATCAGTATCAAACCTTAGAATATGAACAGAGATGGTATGCAACCTGTTCTTAAGTTGATAATTATGTTTTATGGGTTAGGGACAGATACACTTGAAACAGATGAAAAAAGCACTCTCTTAAAGGGAAGCTATATTGGTTCACAGTACTGAAACATGCATCTTTGTAATGTCACACAACAGTGCTTCTCCGTACTCTCCCTCAAATCTCTGCATAGAAAAACTAGGAAAGTTGACTACAAATTGCCCTAATTTGCTGGGTCATTTTTATTCTCTCTCTCTCTCAATCTCTCTGTATATATGTATATATGTATATGTATACATTCAGTCATGTGATCTCACATGTGCCTTCTGAAATGATAGAGTTAGACAAAAATTTGCTACCTTGCTGTAAATTAGATCTGAGGGAGAAGATGCTACGTATTTGTCTTCTCTCAAATAGTATATTTATTTGCTCTCCACTTTCTCCTCCCATTTCCTTTTCATTGGTAGCTCTTCCTATCTGTTCTTCCCCTAATTCATATCTTTGTTTCTTTCTACCTCTGTTTTTTTCTCTTTTCCAGCAGTTCCAAGGGACTGAACCCTAGAGATAGAAGACATCCTCTAGACCAGAGCAGTCATGCCCCCCAACAAGGATGCTCCAGGCTGCCTTGGCTCGCCCCCAGGCTTGATCTGCTTGCCCCCCATATCTGAGGATCTCCAGTTGGTGTGGACCCAGGCGGCCCAGACGAGTGATCTCGACAGCAACCAGCATTTGCTGCAAACATTTAGCTACTTCCCCTACCCCAGCCTTTCTGATCTGGCCTTGCTCTGCTTGCGTCATGGTCTGCACATGGAGAAAGTCAAGGCCTGGTTCATGGCACAGCGCCTTCGCTGTGGCATTAGCTGGAGTGCTGAAGAGATTGAAGAGACTCGTGCGCGGCTCATCTACCATCAGGATCAGCTTCATTTTAGCTGCCTGCTTGCTGGGAATGACGTTGACCCCTGGCACCAATCGTTTAAAAGCCAGGAGTATCAACAGCTGTTACCTCCCTCTGTGTACTGCTCCAACAAATATCCAGAGAACCAGCAAACCTCTATAGATTCTTTCAACCACTGCAGCACAGCCCAAGGAAAAGAGGAGGTTGAGAGAATCACTCAGGATATTTGGAAACTGAAGAAAACCTCTTTGTCCAACCACAGCAAAGTTCAGGAGAACTATGAACCTTTAGGGGCCTCTTCACATCTTCACAATACCAAAGAGGCACCTTCTGGTGCTTATCTACCCACCACACCTACCAATCTGAGCCATAAGTTTGAGAACCCTCCCACTGTTGCATGGGGACTCCCTGCAGCCTCCATCCAGCCACCTGACCCTGTTGTGTCTGCAGTAAATGGTGGGCATCACCCAGGGGTTTTCCCAGCAGGTTCTTCTATCAAAGCTACCCCATCTTTGTCTACAACTACAACTACTGGTATCGAGTCATGTAACACTCAAAACTATCAGTATGGTATGGGCGACCAGCAGCATCCTTCAGGTTGCTTCTCAGACACTCTTCGCAGAACTAGGCGAAAGACAAAGGAACAGTTGGATGTGTTAAAGTCTTTCTTCCTTCGTCACCAGTGGGCCCGAAGAGAGGATTATCATCAGCTGGAGAAGGTCACTGGGCTACCACGTTCTGAGATCATCCAGTGGTTTGGAGACACTCGCTATGCACTCAAACATGGTCAACTGAGGTGGTTTCGGGACAATGCAGGGCAGAGTCCAGAGTCTGTCTCCTCACTGCCTCCTCATCCGCTTCATAGCAACCATCCAGACACAGGTCCACTGGAGCGCTATTGGACAACCCATCTACAATTGCATGAGCCTGATTTACCAGCGCTCTGTCATGAGTCAGGTATGGATGCTGAACAGGTGTTAAAATGGTTCAATTCACGCTCACCGGCTCCATGTGAAGTAGAAGTATGTTTGAGTGAGGAAGAAGAAGTAGATGAGGAGGTGGCAGCCCATATGATAAAATATGACTATGAAGACTATGAAGAAGAAGAGGATGATGAGGATGAAAATGCTGATGATGATGACGATGAAGATTGGGTTGCCTAAACCCAATCTTGTGATTACTGGAAAATTTGGTAATGGGTCTCAGGGATGGATCAAGTAGACAAAAAAAAATGAAAGGAGGTTGAGAGTCCCTACTTCATCAGAATCCTGCCATTCCCATTACTACTCAGTGGTTGCCCTTTCATGTTCTAGCATCTGTTTATCCTTTCCCTATGCTTTAGATTTTTAAGTTAAAACACTGGTCCCTGTCATTCAGTGATTATGTCTTAAATCCCAGAGTTAAAAGGATGCTGGAAATGGAGCTGTCAGTACCCTATTCGATTCCAGGATCCATAGCAAGAACACCTTCAGTAGTTTGCTAGACTTGGAAGTTTCTTTTACATAGCTTTTATGTTGTTACCTATTTGTTATGCTGATAGATTTCAGATTGGTTTTTACTTCTAGAATCCTGTTAATATTTTCATCTGCTGTTCTTGATTTTAAGAGCTGGTATCTTCCTTTATTATAATAAGACCTAAAACATAAATCTGGGATGACATATGTGTCTTGGTTTCTCTTTTATTTTCCAACCAATTCTTTTAGATTGGAAATGGGTAGTTCTCATCATTAACACAATTGCATAATCATAGATTCAAGCCTTTCCAGACATCTTTGTGATTTCATGTATTTTCACTTCAGCAATGCCTTTTTCAGATACCATCTGTGTTGTATAAAACATCTGGCTGTTCTAAACCTAGTTTATTTCATTCTGTTTTAGGGAATATGATTTACTTCCCAATGTGAGAATTCCTTGTGTTTAGTTTTTGCAAACCAAAAGTGCATTTCAAGAAAACAGTGGAGAAATATCCAGATTTTTGAGTTGCAATTTATCCTGTCTTGGTTTATTTCTTTTAATTATGGATATCTGCATTGCTTGTTTTAAATTTGACTTTCACAAAATGACAAATATGAATGTTTGACCGTTGATAGATGCGTTGGTGTTTAAAATGATGTCTGTGGATCTTGTGTGCTCTAATCTTTGTTATGTGTGCGTCCTAAGCATTTGATTTCATGTTTATATCCTTCTCACCTTTCATTCTTTTATGTCTTTCAATTTGCTACATGATTTCCATGTTGTTTTTCATGCAATGTCATGTTACTCTTCTATTCTCTCCTTGCCTCCATCAGTGCCTTGATTTCCCAACAATGCTTTTCTTACTCCATTTCATTCTTATGGGGGCATCTATCCATTCTGACTAGTTAGAAGGCCCAATGTGCTTGAAAATCACTTTACTGTTCCACTTAAATCACTTAATATAAAATCCTGCCTGATCATGGAAGCTAAGCAGGCTTGTTTAGTATTTTGAGGGAAGATCGCCAATGAATAACAGGAACCGTAGTCTGTATTTCAGAATATTCCTAAGGAAAGCCTGTGAAATTCATTGGGTGGCTGGAAGTTAATGGACAACCTGAAAACACGCACACACACATGTCTCCCTTGTAGAAAAGCTGCAAGAAAAGGGGGAAAGCATGACTAATTCCTTGGCACATTCAATACATTTTACAAGACCAGACCTTCCTTCACTGGGACATCCTGCAGAAGATCTGTGAAATGGGGATAAGCTTCTGTTAGCTCTTAAGAATGATTTTTGTTACACGTGATGATCAAGGTAAACTTGGCAATGATAAGGGTATTCGGTAGGAGTCAACAAAAGGATACTAATACTTTCCAAATTAAAAGCATTTATTCAACCATTTATCCAAGATTTTTTTTACAGAGAGAATGGAAGACTGCACAGAGAGAAAAGCTGCATATTGCCTGTACAATTTTATGTGAATCAGTTTGAAGCTCACAATGTGTAGAAATATATTGAAGGAGTTACATGAGCTATACTGACATGTGGACTGGTTACTTAATAGCCATAAAGTAATATTTTGTAGCTTCTCAGTGATGAGTTTGGATTTCAATAAACCATACTTTCCTTTTCCATCTTTTCCATTAATGTTTTCCACCCCAGACTTGACTGTTACGCTCTGTGTTTAAAAAGCAATCTTGGTTATATACCAATTATATAATACAATATATATTATATAATGGTTATAGAATAATTATATATTATGTGCAAGCAGGATCAAATAGAGTCTCAAATGTTCCATAGATTTGCTAGATGCATTTTAGTCTCTGGCAATCTCAAAAAATATCTGCTCTGTTCTTAACAGATGATCACAATCCAGGCAAAATTATTTTGGGAGCCACTGAGTGCTTCAAGTACAGTAGACCAGGATTGTTGATAATAAAGTCTACCATCTAGCCTTCTAATTATATTTCCTCCAATAGGAATCCTGCAAACATTTGTTACTACACCTGATATATTACCAGAAATACCTTGTTTTGTGTTCAAAAGAAAAGGAATGTGATTAGTAAATGACTTTTCAATCTGTGTTCAAAACATAGAGAATGCAGATTGTCAAAAACTTGCCTATAGTTGTACTGATAAAGAGCAGTGACTTTGGTTCTTCTCATTATTGTTGATGGATTTGGCTGATAGATGAGTACCTGGGAGACAGTACAATGAGCATCACAGTTCAGTTACTAAACCCTATTTATACTCAGTTATATTCCAACAAAAAATCTGGTATATGCTTTTGAGAAAAAAGTTGGATTTGGGAGGAAGCTGGATGCTATACAAAATGAAAACCTGGTGGGGAGTGATGGTTGAAAAAGTCCTCCCAACCAGCCCTGGCTACTACCATTTCAAATGGAGGTAGGGGTGGGAAGTGGGGGGGGGGGGGKGACTGCTTGACACTGCATGCTGAAAACTTTAACACAGTATATTAGGGGCCTTGAAAGAACTTGTAAAATAACTTTCAAAATTAACAAGGTAATATACATCATCTTGCATCTTTGGAAAACTTCCATCTTTAATATTTTCATACCCTTTTGCGGTATGCGGTCTTGTTGAGGACTGGACCCTAGCTTTCAAGAAAATCTTTTTTTTTGTGTAACCATTGCCTACAACCTTATCTTCCAAAGTTTGTAACAAGGTGAAGTCTCCCTTTTGCCCCTGCTTGAATATGGAGTGCCTATGGCTTTTCAGAACTTTCTTAGATACCTTGTCTTCCTAGCTATTAATATCAGGATTGTGAAAAGACAAGTGATCTCCCACTTACCTGTTGTTAAAGGAAGGTGTTGAGTGAGGGGTGAACCTCAGCTGGGAAGGAAAGGAAAAGAAAAATAATTACTCAAAAACTCTTAAGAGGTGATGTTATATAATCTGTAGAGACTGCCACTCACCTGTATTGGGTGCATCCTTTCAGTATTGTGACGTTCTGGTACAGATGCGCCCTCTCTCTGATCTGTGAGCCAAATCCAATATGGAATTGAACTTTTGAGAATATATGCATTTAATCTGGAGCAAGGTGATAACCATTGTTTTTATATCTTATGCTACATTGTTGAGTCTGTACATTCCACTGCAACCTCTCCAGAAGAGGGCTGTGGTGTAAAGCTGTCAACAGTGTTGGGTATAGAGATAATGAAAAGAAAGAATACAGAAAAGAGTTATGGCATCTGTCCTCACCAGGGAAGATGCTGAGACTTAAGTAAGGAGTTTCCTGTCGCTGCCTAGTATTGGTAGCACTCTGATTTTGCCGCCTCACAGGGTGCTGTTGATTGAAGTTGCTTGAGCTAGGGGTGTGGGAAGGAGAGGCCCTGAAAGGAACAATAGAGTTATCAATCACAATAGCAGACAATATTAAATGATTGTTTTTTTCATGATCAGACCATGATAGCAACCTGAAATGAAAGCTGCTTTCTCTCCCCCCCCCCCCCCCCCCCCCCAGCCTCCATACATGCACACACTTTTACATCTTACCTGTAAAATAAACTCTGAGTGGAAGCTGGAGAAGGAGTAGCTGAAAATAGAACTTTTAAATATTATGATTGGATTTAATGTTATAGAGTATAAGCAAAGATGACAACGGTACAATGAGGTTAAGCATATGGGAATTTGTTGCAGGAAACTAATTTAATAAAAATCTGTATATTCCTAATTATTATTTTGTCCTTTGAAGATGTGGAACATTTTCCTACTTAGGGACTGAATAAACTCCATTGTACTTGTAAATCATGCTGTCCCCACTTTGCTGAAGCTGATCCCATGCCCCATTGGAGCTGTATTTGAAATCCTGGAGAAGGGGGAAACGTTTGCTCTTATTTATTTTGGCTCTGTGTTGCCACCTTCTGGTACTCTATGACATGTCAAGAGTTCACTCTACCTTTTGCATCAAATGATTGTATTTCCTACCATTAATAGAGTCAGCTGGAGTCATCCTTGAAGCTCCTGTGGGATGCTGCATAAAAATGAGAAGTCCTACCAATTTATTATTTTTATTTAGAATGTTTATAAAAGTATTGATAACCACTTATATGGTAAAATGGAACAACTGTTAAAATATCTGGAAACATTTTCTCTTGTCATTTCCTAGAGTCATACAGGACTCATAAACCAGAGGTTATTAGCAGCCTTGATTTTGGGGTTTTCCATGGAAGCCAGTATGGAAAGAAAGTTGATGAAGAAACCCACATGACCCCCGCCCCTGCCACACACACACAAAAAAAAACCACTCATTTTATTATATATAATGCCTCTGAATCCATTAGTAGCCAAAATGGAAGACTTCTTCATCCACAGTAGTACTATTTTTTACTTTAAAAAGTTAGTATTCAAATAGGGCAAGAACATATCTTCACCTAGTGTATATTATTAATGACTCCTAACTTTCATTCATTACTTCCCATGACCTTATCAGTCCATAAGGAAGAAAACTGCATATCCATTGTTTCCTTCACTTTGGTGTAGAAAGAAAAGAGCCATGCAGACTCACTTGCCAGTATGCTGGGTGGCTTCCTCTAGAAGAAATAGACTCCATGGAAGAGGAGCGGCTATGAAAAAGTCAAGGAGTTGTCAGTGAAAAAAGAAAATAGACAAGCAGACAGTACTCACACAGAACCTTTGCCAAGAAGTTTAGAATTTAAAGTACAGATTTCCTGTTTTCCTAAGTAACGGGCAGGAGAGAGAACAATGGTCATAGCAAGAAATGCACTGTGTTATGTGCACAAGTTAGAATTTTGTTTTTCCTGAATGGCAGAAAAGGGAAATTCCTCTAGAATTTAGAGTTGGCTCTTAGATTCTTTGGTAAAAAGTATTAATTGCACCCAAAACTAGAGAATATTTATTTCTTCAGATAATTACCTGACTACTGCACTGGAGCGCTGAAAAGTAGGCCGTGGTGTAACTGCAAAAGAAAAAAGAAAAAAAAAGGTTCGTGTATTAAATGTGGAGCAGCAATATACTGTGCTAGACATGTGTATTGACATGTTATCATACAACAGCAGTTTACACAGCCAGAGGAGATATTCTCTTCCTCAAAGATGAAGTAAGCACGACTTTCTTCAAAGACCAAGATGTGAACATACATTTACATTAAGGGAACAGAGAAATATGGGAATTTCTTGCACGCATTTGTGTTATAAGTACATGCAAACATCTTTTCTGCCATGCAAGCATACATTTATTTTCTATGCAAATGCAAGAACATATATACTGATATGTTTATCTACAAGAAGAATTCACAGCTTGGAAAGTTTTTGAAAGTAATCTGTTCTTTCTTCAGCATTTTATCCTTTGTATTTGAAAAAGAAATATTTCATTACATTTACAATATCCTCCTGGAATTTTGTTACTCTTTGAAATGAAAGCATCTTACTTTTGCAGTGTTTAAAAGTAATTTGTGTTGCTTGTTGTTAAAAAAAACTTCAATGGAAAAATGATATAAAGCTTATAAAATTCCTGTTAAAATGATTCTAAAATGCCTTAAACAGCCCTTTAAAACAAACTAAAATTTACATATTATAAGTAACATTTTCAGTTTCTCTTAAAAGTCTGTTAGTATAATTAATTATACCAGTACAATTGTCCTCACTTCATCTTACTTGTAGAATGCAATTTTGTAACACACTGGTTGCCTTAAAAAGCAACCCACTATCACAGGTAACTGTTACACTATTTATTATTTCAGTATGATTCCTATATCTGTAAGGGATACATTCCAAGAATACATTCATAGAATCACACTGGATAATCTAGAGTGGCCCACAGATCTATCATGGGAGGGATACTGAATCTGTGGATACTGAATCTGTGGATAAGGAAGTTTTATTGTCATTACTTCTGGACTTGGATAAACTGCATGTCAGCAGGGCATCCATTAATTTATGTACCTCTTTGTGATGGGGGAGTGATGGCAACTGGCCGTGGGGTGCTGTTTCTGCTGGAAAATAAAATTATTTTATTTAGTTAAGGTAGGAAGTAAATTATCTTCATCCAGATACTTGCTGCTCTGTATTCTCAATTCCAGCTCTTGCTTGGCATAAACATCTCTACCGGCTAAAATTCACGTGCTGAAGCTACTGATATTTGCCACCAAAGGGTAGAATAGACACATCTCTACCAGCTAAAATTCATGTGCTGCAGCTACTAACATTTGCTGCCAAAGGGTAGAATAGACACACTGACCTGCTACTTTCATGTTGTCTTGAAAAAGCCTATTGAGAGAAAAGTGAGAGTAGGCTTGACTAAAACCCAGATATGCATTAGAGGCTTTGGATCATTTTCATGTTTCCGATATAAGGAGCAAAACTAACTCAACCAGCAGAGGGTATCAGGAACCAAAAAACTAAAAATGTGATCTGGTTTCAGTAAATAGCTCTTACCTTCAAATCGAGGTATTTCTTTCTTAATTCTTTGTTCTCCTTCTGTATTGCCTCCAGCTCCCTAAACAAGGTGATGTGGGGTGAGGGATGGGGAAGGGAGAGATACATGATAGATGGTCTGACTGAACATTTGACAACACTTGATACATTTTTCAGTGCCAGGGATGGAGAATTGAATTAATAGTGAAACAATTACAATATGCTGGCTCTACATGCCATCTCTTTTTATACATTTGTGTGTAGAGAAGAATGTATTATTGTGCACATGCATAGTAAAGATACTTTTTAAAATATTATTAATCCCATTTATAACCTAAGCTTCCTGGAAGGTTCTTAGTACAGGTTACAAGTTTCTTCTCAACCCTCCCCCCAAAAAAATTTTCTCTCAGGAAGTAAGCATTCCTGAGAGAAAATTGTGGACCCAGGATCATCTGTAAGCTTCACAAATTAGTGGGATTTCAAACCTGGGTCTTACTAGTCCTGGTCCCCTGCAGATATGACTAACACTGCATTTGTTCATGTGAACACAACCTGCGTATCTCACTTTTCCTGGATAGTTAGTTTCTGGAGAGCTTGTTGCAGAGCCCCATGAGATTTTGAAGCTTTATGTTTATGGAAAGCAATCAGCAGTTCCATCTGGCCTTTCTGGAACATCCACACCTAAAAAAGAGAGAATGAGAAAAAGAGATATTCAGTCAGGTGGTTTTTTAAAGGTCAAATCTGCGCGCTTTGAGTGCTATGAGAAATAGCATGTGAGAACCTGCAGTTCTGTAAGCCATATCTCAAGGGCAAAAGCGTATGTCTTGACTATAGGTGGTCACAGACCCAATCCTGTCTGTCAGAACAGAAAAAGTATTAAGAACATGCAGGCATCCAGATGTTGGATTCACATCTGCCCAGACACCGTGACTAATGGTTGCTCCCCACAAAATATGTAATTCTAGATTACATGAGGAGATGGTATGAGTATGTAAGGCAACTTCACATGTTTGTGAAGTTTAAGTATGATCATTTACATGATGACCTGATGCTTGCAAAACATGTTGCATTGAGCAAATGGCTCGGACCTCAAGTAAACAACAACTGTAATGGAATATGATAATATGAATGAACTTATGCATTTCTTTTCTGTTTTTACAGAAAGACCCTGGTATACTTATAGATCTATGAATTAATCTTCTTCAACCTGTTCCATTAAAATGGTGGGGTACAGCAGTGATGTGGAATCTCTGGGCAATGGGCCAGTTGTGACAAAAACAGCCTAGGAAATGTTTTTGTGGAACTGGGCTGTGCTTGATAGCCTAGAATGCAGCTAAACATTATAAGAGGTAAGTAAGTACAGTACTACCAAATATTATCAGCTCTAGTACACCACAATCTGAGGGCATGTGTTTCCATATCACAATACACTTTATAGAGCTATACTCCACTTTAACTGCCATAGCAACATCCTGTAGCATTCTGGGATTTATAGTTTAGTGAGCCCCAAGAGATCTCTGTTGAGAATTCAAATACTGCCCCTTAAACTGCAACTACCAGGATTCTATAGACTATTCCCATGGAGTTAAAATGGAAAATGTAGTGCTATACATAGTGGAATAAATGCACTTAATGCATTGATACCTGATTGAAAAATATAACAGGATTAACAACTCAAGAACACTGGAAATGCAGCAACCTGGAAAGATCTAAAATGATCAAAGGTCTGGAGACTATGCCCTTTGAGGAGCGTCTTAAAATATGTTTAGCCTGCAGAAGAGAAGGTTGAGTGGAAACATGATAGACATGTTTATACATATTTATGTATGTGAAAGAGTGTCATAAGGAAGAGGGAGTAGGCTTGTTTTCTGCTACCCTGGAAACTAGGACTTAGAGAAATGGGTTTAAATTACAAGAGAGGAGATTCCACCTGAACATTATTTATTTACGACATTTATATGCTGCCCTTCTCACCTTGAAGGTGACTCAAAGCAGCTTATAAGTTATATGTACATACAATATATTATATTATTAGCATAGCACAATATTACTATTATATATTACTATATTGTACTATACTGCTATACTATAATATTAGTAATACTACATGTAATATATAATATATAGTATTAGTAGTATTATATTGTATTACATTATAATATTATAATCAATACTATATGTGTATAGAATATATTGTAATATTAGCACATCACAGTATTTGTATTATATATTACTATATTGTTGCTGGGAAGAGGGGCTCCTTCACTCTGGCTCCAGAGCGTCAGTTGGTGTTGGGGGGGGGGGGGGTCCCAACAGATGACCCAGGACATATGGTGAAACTCTGTCTTCCTGGCTCCCCTCATATTAGAAAGAACTTCCTGACCGTACAAGCTATTTAGCAGTGGAACTCTCTGCCTTGGAGTGTGGTGGAAGCTCCTTCCTTGGAAGCTTTTAAACAGTGCCTGGATGTCTATCTGTCAGGGATACTTTGTGCTTTTCCTGCATGGCAGGGGGTTGGACTAGATGATCCATGTGGTCTCTTCTGACTCTATTATTCTATGATTTTACTGAAAATATAGCCTTGCTAATTGTCTCTGCCTACATCCCACAAGAGAATCAATTATAACTGTTCTTTTGTCATTAGATGAAAACATTTTATTTCTTTAAAAATTATCTGTTTGACTACAGTTTGAAAGTGTTTATTGTTGTGTTGGTTAATTTTTAAGTGTTTTTATGTTGTAAAATGCCCTGTAGCAAACCAATTACAAAATTCCCACAGTCATTTGCACCAATACTCACAAAAGGAAAAAAAAGTTATTTTCCTTTAATTGCCATTAAATGCCACAAAAATTTTAGGAATGGTTGAAGATGTTGCTATCTTTAGCAAGTTTTATTGTTATTGCCGTATAACAATAAAACTGGTAACTGCATTTAGCAAACTTACTTAAGAGAATCACAAGATATTTATTTACTGGAGTACTGAAGTTTTTAACTGCCTTCATCCAATTCATCAATATCAAGCCATTCAGCTTACGGAGAATGTTGGGATGGCAATTAGTAAAGTTTATAAGATATGGCATACATATAAGGCACGCCTGGTGGAGTTTAATGTTATGGTACTGCTGATTCAGCTGAAATTCTTTTTATGATTAACTAGCTTGTGCCTATATTTATCTGTGTCTTTAATCAAGATTTGTTTCTGTAATTGGTGATGTTGAGAAATGGAGCCTTTCTCCACATTGGTTATTAAGTAATCCTCTACCTAACTTTGGATCAACAGGCATTAAAAACGGAACAAAACTTAACTTATTTTCAAGGCAGATTACTAGTTTGTTAAGCCAGAAAATTAATTAATTCTTTCTTTCTTCTTTGGATGGAGCACATATTGTCCAAGGACCCCTTAAGTATAATACTTTTATCAGTTCACACATCTCTCCTTTCTTTGAGGTATCCTATCATTTAAATATCTTACAGATTAATTACATGCTCTTTGATGCTGAGTTTTTCTTCTTTGTCTTCCCTCTTATTTAGCCAATAACTGCACTTATTTTAGGATCTAAGACCTATGAACAAAATGTGTCTAGAGTACCTGATCTGTCATTCTTACTTGAGAGATTTGAGCAATATATTTGAGAGCTGTTTCCACTGGGTTTTTGAAAAATCTTTTTTCTTCTGTTTTCATCTGAGGACAAGAAAGAGGAGCAAAAAATATCAGCTTCAGGGTGAAGTAGGAATTTGAACTAGGATTTCCACATAATGATCAATCCATTGTGAAAATAAATAGGGCCTGAAATTTTGGAGAATGAAAGTATGTTATAACAATTACTAATAGAACAACTGATATTGTTGGGTTTGCCGGTGGGTGTGCATGTGTTGTTTAAGATGAAGATATGAGAGGAAGCCTTGCTCAATCCAACAATCATCATATCTATGTAGATACAATCTTATCTTAGGAAAGATTATAGATGCTTCTGTTTATGAGAAAGACTTGTCTATAATGATCTGCTCCCACATTCTCAGATGACTACCGTAATCTTTCAATTCCAAACAAGATAATAATCTTAAGCATCCACTCCTGCAGTCCATACCTCCACATTGTCACAGCTGTTGCTTGAAGTTCAGACAATGTTTTATGAAATATTGTTGAGAACATCACATTCTCAAATTAATAAAAAAATTACAACCCAGGATGTTTCTAATGCCATATATAAGCAAAGCAATATAATTCATAATTCTCCTTTGTCCTTGTTTCCTTGCATTGTAGAAAAACAAAGCTTACAACATTAGCCCAGATGGCTGTGGTATAAATAGAACTTATGTGTTTTGGAGAACAAAGAAAGAAAAGTTCTGCCTTAGAGAAACCACAACTTACATTATCGTTGAGAAACAAATACTTGCAGCTTGTTCCACAAGATGGGCACTTATCTGCCAAGATCAAAGGGCAATGTTAATACAACCTTCTGGAAAATTATCATAGATACTATTAAGTGCTCTGAAACTGTAGTATCAATTGATTTGTTAAAAAAAAAAGTACTGTGTTTCCCAATGCTCTGCTATTGTTGCCCTCTAGCATTCTGATCAGTTAGAGGTTAAAAATTCCTAGAATGTTTCCTGCAGTCATATGACTTCAGAATGTTACTAAGGGGTAACTAACACATTGTCAACGTATTTTCATATGTAGGATCCAGAAGACTAGTATGAAGGTTTATATTTCCTATATTTGTTCTCTCTCTCTGTGGCGACCAGTGCTCATGCTCATCCTGAAGCATGTGATTGTGTGTGACTGAATATTGTATTTAAAGGCATAAAACAAATACCACACTGTTATTCTTACCTGAACCAGCACATTTTTTGCAAAAGATGTGTCCGCAGCTGGTGACACAAAAGTCTGATGCTTCCTGACTAAAGCAGTGATTGCAATGAAACCAATCCATTTTGCAAGATGGAAAGGTAAGCCAAATGTCCCATTCAGGTTCTGTTGGGAAAGTGGATCAGGATAATACATCAGAGTTTATGGGGGGAAGATACAGAGGCTGACAGACTGAAAATTATGAAGATATAGGGATAGACATACAGTAGAAAAGAAGTATGGTAAAAGAGCAAGGAATTTAAGGATGTGTTTATTGGTTTATAGGGGAGTTTAGGTTGAGTATCTTTTACCCAAAATGCTTGAGATCAGAACTGTTTTGGACTTTTGATTTTTAAAATTATTTTGGAATACTTGTACATAATGAGATATCCTGAACATGAGACCCAAATATAAACATTAAATTAATTTATATTTCATATATACACTTCATACGCATAAGCTTGAAGGTCATTTTATACATTAGTTTTAACAAAGATTGTGCTCACTCGAACCATTCAAAAGCAAAGATGTCACTATCTCAGCCACTAATGTGGACAGTTTCAGATTTTGGAGTATTTCAGATTTTATTTCTCTGGATAAGGGATGATCAACCTGTATACAGTAAATAGATAATATTCAAAACTTGAGTATTTATCCCTGATAAAGCATCAATGAATCGTATGTTAAATGTAAATGGGGATATTGCAATCAGGGAATATAGTTTTGGCATTAATTTTAAGTTTTAATAGTCACCTGAAACTTTTAAGAAAACCATTTTTATGATATGCCTTCAAACCCCCTCCATTTTATTGCAACCTGATCCAAAAGTTTTCTTAGCCAGATTTGTTCAGAGAAGGTTTCTCATTGCCTTCCTTTTGAGGCTGAGAATGCGTGACTTGCTTAATCTCATTCAGAGGATTTTTATAGCTGAACAAGGCATTCATAATCTGTTGACATAATGATCTATTTATTTCAATAGTATAGTTAAACCATGCACTCAAATGCATTCTATGTAAACAGTTTTGTTTCAGACGAATTAGAAGTGCAACATTGTAGCACAGGCATGGGCAAACTTTTGCCTTCCTCCAGGTGTTTTGGATAGCAACTTCTACAATTCCTGACAGTTGGCTGTTAGGAATTGTGGGAGGTGAAGTCCAAAACACCTGGAGGAAGGCCAAAGTTTGCCCATGCCTGGTGCAGCAGCAAAAAAACAATATTTCTACATATTATATGTGACAGGAGATACACTGCAGTTGTGGCTTCTGATCCAGTATATTGCAGAAATACTTCTGCCCTTTAAAAAATAGTGCAAGATTTAGATCTTCATAGTCCTTGCGGTTTTTACAAGACAGCACTTGCATTAATCTCTTGTTAAATCACAGTTTGCATCCGTCATCATCTCAATGCTTTGTTGCAGCAATTGTGCAAGATGGAGCAAGATGTATATGACTTTTATAGCATAGTGATTATTAAACCAAGAGTCCAAAGATAGGCAATTCCCAATGTGTGGGTCTGGCTACAAAGCTATAAATTACACCCTCTGAGGACAGATTAAGAAGGTTGTAGTCCACTGCCAGTCTGTTGGCATAGCTGTGACTTGAAGAAAAAAAATTATCGATTTCACAGACTTTTTTTCAATCTTCTGAGGGGATTTTGCAGGCAGAAGTCTGCAGATTCAATTGCAGGCCTAGCCTGATAGATGCCAAGGAGGATCTTCAAACTGAAATATCGGAGAGCTTACGTGTGAATGATTGCTCTATACGACTCAATCAAAACACAATTAGTCCTGTGTGTGTGTGTGTGTGTGTAGTTTTATTGTACAATGTGTGGATACAGAAGTGTCCTGACATTTAATTGTGGATTTGAGGGAAATCTAAGGATCATTGCAGGCACATTTCCCCCTCACAGCAGCACAAGGATATAATCAATCTAACATATTTCCAATGCACTCCATAAATTGATTTAATCTGATAGCAAAACATTGATGTTTATTCATTCAGCTGATTCTTCGTGAGCTCATGGGCCAGCCCAGGTCAGAGTTCCCTGTTGGCCGTGGCCACCCCCAGCTCCTTCAAGGTCAAGCTAGTCACTTCAAGGAGAACATCCATCTTGCGCTTGGTTGGTCCCTCATCTTTTTTCCTTCCGTTTTCCCTAGCATCATTATCTTCTCCAAATTTTCCTGTCTTCTCATGATGTGGCCAAATACTTCATCTTTGCCTCTAATATCCTTCCCTCCAATGAGCAGCTGGGTTTTATTTCCTGAAGCATGGACTGGTTGGAGCTTCTCGCAGTCTAAGGCACTTTCAGCATTTTCCTCCAACATCACAGTTCAAAAGTGCCTATCTTCCTTCGCTCAGCCTTCCTTATGGTCTAGCTCTCACATCCAAAAGTTACTACGGGGAATACCATTGCTTTAATTATGCAGACCTTGTTGCCAATGTGATGTTTCTACTCTTCACTATTTTATTGAGATTGGTCATTGTTCTCCTCCCAAGAAGTAACCGTCTTCTGATTTCCTGGCTGTAGTCTGTGTCTGCAATAATATAAAGTCTGTCAGTGCTCCATGTTTTCTCCTATTTGCTATCATCTTGTTTTTTAAGAAATGTTTAACTGCAACTCAGCTTTTGCACTTTCTTCTTTCACCTTGGTTATAAGGTTCCTCAGCTCCTCCTCGCTTTTAGCCATCAGTATGGTATCATCCACATATCTAAAGTAGTTAATGTTTCTTCCAGTGAGATTAGACAGCCCTGCAGTTCTCCTTTCCCAATCTTCAACCAGTCTGTTGTTTCGTGGTCTGTTCTTACTGTTGTGACTTAGTTGTTATACCAATTCCTCAGGAGACAGACCAGGTGGCTTGGTCTCCCCATACCAGAAAGAACTTGCCATAATTTATCATGATCCACACAGTCAAAGGCTTTAGAATAGTCAATAAAACAGAAATAGATGGCAAAACATGGGGTATTTCAGACATGACAATCTATGACAGGGGTCCTCAAACTTTTTAAACAGAGGGCCAGAGGTCACAGTCCCTCAAACTGTTGAAGGGCTGCACTATAATTTGAAAAAAGCATGAATGAAATCCTCTGCACACTGCACATATCTTATTTGTAGTGCAAAAAACACTTTAAAACAATACAATAATTAAAATGAAGAACAATCTTAACAAACATAAACTTATTAGTATTTAAATGGGAAGTGTGGGCCTTCTTTTGACTGATGAGATAGGATTGTTGATGTTGTGTGCTTTCAAGTCGTTTCAAACTTAGGTTGATCCTGAGCAAGGGCCGGGTAAATGATATTGTGGGGTTAATTCTGCCTTGATATTCTGGGTTATATGGCTGTGTGGAAAGGCACTATGTCCACACCTACTATACAATGTCCCAGAATACTTGTTGGATATCAGAACAAACACAAAGCAATCTATGTATGGAGAAAGTGTAATATCCAAAGCGCATACAGTATATAATTTTTATCAAAATTCCCAATATACAGCTCAATACAGTGGCAAAAAGCAAAGTGAAAAGGAGCAACCGCTCTCAAACATAACAGTTCTAAGACTGATAGATCCCAATATATATAGGCTTCAGGGATAATAATAATAATAATAATAATAATAATAATAATAATAATAATAAATAATAACATTTTATTTATATTCTGTCCTTCTCACCCCGAAGGGGACTCAGGGCAAATCACAGTACACTTACACGGCAAACATTGAATGCCTCTTTGTATAGACAATACACAGACAGACAGAACAGAAGGAGGTGCCATGGAAGGTTGGGCTCGAGTCCAGGGGGAGCTGTTGCTCTATCCTCTATGACGAAGATGTCACCCAGCATTTTCTAATCTTCTTTCTTTATGGCGTCATAAAACACCTTCCCCGCTTTTAGCGGTACCTAAACAGCTAAAGTTGTTTTCGAATTGCTTAGGTAAGCAATATTTATTTATTTATTGTGTCATCCGCAACCAGAACATTGTATTACATTTCTAACAGAACAAAACAAACAAACAGATTAAAAAAACAACACAAATTTTGCAAACTTGGTCGCTGATTAAATGTCCTTTGACCAGTATCTGGCCACTTGGAGTGCCTCTGGTGTTGCCGCAAGAAGGTCCTCCATTGTGCATGTGGCAGGGCTCAGGTTGCATTGCAGCAGGTGGTCAGTGGTTTGCTCTTCTCCATACTCGCATTTCGTGGATTCAACTTTGTAGCCCCATTTCTTAAGATTGGCTCTGCATCTCATGGTCTGTTCTGCACCTTCCAAGTGCAGTCTGTTCAGCACCTTCCAAGTTGCCCAGTCTTCTGTGTGCCCAGGAGGGAGTCTCTCATCTGGTATCACCCACAGATTGAGGTGCTGGGTTTGAGCCTGCCACTTTTGAACTCTCGCTTGCTGAGGTGTTCCAGTGAGTGTCTCTGTAGATCTAAGAAAATTAGGTAAGCAATGAGCTAGGCTAACAGTTGGCAGCTAACACCAACCCGAGGTTTGGAACTTGCAACCTTTTGGTTGATAGATCTTATAATTGCTGATGATTTACCAGCTGTGTAAAACCTCCGGGATATGTGTTCAATGAAGAAACCTTTCAAAGTAAGCAGACAATGAGTCATGAAGTCCAAAGGAAAGTCCAAATAGCATCAAAATCCAAGTAAAGTCCAGTGATAATGGAGCATCGGTCTCAAAAAAACGTCTTTGTAGTGAAAATCCAAATGGCATCGACAGGGGTACTCGGGTATTTTTTGTACCATATTGCCTGACAGCTTTATAAGGAATGACTCTACTTGTAGTAATTCCAACTGCAAGTCCACACCGCCATATATCCCAGTTCAAAGCAGATAATGTGGGATTTTATTCAGCTGTGTGGAAGGGGCCTCAGGTATATAGAGCATCTTCAAGGACTATGAAGCCCATCAGGCTGAGTCATCCGGGACTACATAGTGCAGCGTTTCTCAACCTGGGGGTCAGGACCTGGGGGGGTGGTGGTGAGAGGATGTCAGAGGGGTCGCCAAAAACCATCTGGTCATGGGGGTTCTATGTTGGTCATGGGGGTTCTATGTGGGAAGTTTGGCACAATTCTATCATTGGTGGGGTTCAAAATGCTCTTTGATTGT